TCCTCGTCTTGATCCTCCGCTTGCGCCAGGTCTGCGCGCACCCATACCTCATACTCGTGCGTTCTCGCCTCGTACTCGAGCTTCCAACTTTCCCTCGTTCGCTAATATACCATCCGGCCACGACACAGTCCGAGACAGATGACTTCGGCGACCCGACGGCGCTCCTCGGCTCGGAAGGCGACAAGGAGCTCGCGCGCGCGACAAAGCAGATGGGCCCGAAGTGGGTCAGCTCTGTGCGTAGCACCTTGTTTTATTCCAGTCTCTCTTCCTCGCACAATGTATGATGACTATACTGACAAGTGGAGGGCACATGCATGTAGCTCAAGAAGCGCCTCCTGGACCGCGCGGTAGCGTTCGAGATGACGTTGGAGAACGATGGCTCGGACATCGAGGGTATGTATTGTCCGAGGTGTAGAGATGGTGAGGCTTTCCAGTCTCTATCATGGGTTTCTTGGCTGTTGAACGGGCGCGATGTCGTAGTGTCTATGGAGAGCACTAGCCGTGTTCTGTCGTGCGGACATGAGATATGCGAAGGTTCGTGTGCGATGCCCACGGTAGCTATGGGAGGACAGTGCTGAGCCCATGTGGCAGAGTGCGTTCAATACCTTTCCACCTCGGAGATAGAGCACGATGGCGTGTTGTGAGTCGCACCTTGCTTCTACAATGATCTCCGGTATGCTGTCTTACGATACACGCTTGTAGCGGAAACAACGACGAGAAGGAGAACCTGCGTGCCGAGAAGGAGTTCGAGACCGCAGCTGCCAAGGGTCTCCGTCCATGTGCGTCCTCCTCCCATCTTCCTCTCCGTCGCCGTCGTGCCGGCCGCCGACATCGCGCTTCACGGACGCAGGCCCGACATGCAAGAAGATGCAGGACCTCCGCCCGAACGGCGTATTCCTCGCCTCCGCGTTCATGCCCACCCGAGACGAGGTGCGCGCCGCCGTCTGCGCGGCGCGCAGGCGTCCGCCCAGTCCCCCGCCTCCGCTAAAGAAGAAACCGAAGTTGGAGATCATCGACATCAGTGATCTCGAATCATCGAGCAGCGACGGAGACTCGGACGATAGCATGCCGGACGTGTCAGTCATGCTCAAGAGCTCGCCTAGGGATAAGGGCGAGAAGACCCTAAGCAAGCCACTCAAGGGCAAGGCTGTGAACAGGAATAGCAAGGCGAGGGCGAAAGAAGAGAGTGACGTTGATTCGGACTCGGAATTGGCCTCGGATGTCCCGAAAAAATGTATGGGAAAGAAGACGAGGCAGAAGAGTAACAAGCGGGACAGCTCAGAAGAGCTTCCCCCGGCGCCTGACGCGAATCTGCTTGCGACGTGGAAGCGGGGCGGGAGCAACGTGGAGTCGAGTGCGAAAATGATGCGTATGGTCGCGTACCTCAAAGAGTGGGAGTCCACGGGGGATAAGACGATCGTCTTCTCGCAGTGTGGGTGTCCTGCTTCCCTACAGAACGATATGTGCAGGCGCTGACGAAGTGGTGAACAGGGACGTCGATGCTTGACCTGTGTGAGCAGATCTTCTCCCGGCATGGGATACGGAGCTTGAGGTATGACGGGTCGATGAGTCGGGAGGCGAGGGAGTACTGTTTGGCGCAGTTTAGGCAGCCAGGCGGGCCAAAGGTCATCCTCGTCAGGTGAGCAGACCGCACGTGAACCCCGTGCTGTGCCCGGAGCTGACTCGTCAAATTACGCTTTACAGCCTCAAGTGTGGCGGCGTTGGCTTGAACTTGGTGTCTGCTAACCGGGTCATCAAGTGAGTCTCTCCTTCTCCGACGTGTATGGAGTGGGTATTGACATCTAAGGATAGCTTGGATCTGTCATGGAACTATGCCGCTGAATCCCAGGCGTATGACCGCGTACATCGTCTCGGCCAGGAGAAGGAGGTATTCGTAAAGCGTCTGATCATACGGAACACTATTGAGGAGCGGTAAGTTACACGCTAGAATATCTCTGCTAACGCCTACTTATCATCTTGTCTTAGTATGCTTGCGCTACAAGAGACAAAGCTCAGTAAGCTGTTCTGGTTCCTGTACGCACACACATCTTCACATTTCTCTTGTAGATCTCGCAGGGGCCGCCCTCGGAGAAGGCGGTGGAGGCAAGCTGGACAAGCTAAGCATCAAGCAAATCAAGACGGTACGTCCCTCCAAAAGCAATCTCCACACCAGTCGGCTCACGAAATTGGCTCAGCTCTTCGGCATGACGAAGAACAACAACCGCGAGCGGGATAGAAACCGTCAGCAGAACGAACATCATGTCTGAGATGGATTCCAACGGATTCCCGTCCCATGATCTCACGCGATTCCAGCAGAGTATTCCACCCGTACATTATTCGTCATATTATCGCGACGTGCGACGTAACGACTGACAGGATATTCTCCCCACTATCTTACTGCGTAACCTTCGAATTCTTTGACATAGATCCTATTGATTAGAGTATGCATAATTCTGCTTTAGTCAACATACTCTACGTGTATATTTTGGTCATTTCTGATGCACAGGATCTGTTGTACTGCCCATCTGTAGCATGCTGTCATATGTATAGTCTTGCCACATTCCTGCCTTCTGTCTCGGCGGTTTGGACTCGGCCATCGATCGAGTACAGGTTGTCTGCATGTATGGGCGGTGACAAGCAGAATAGAGGCAGAGAAGAATGTTGGGGTCATAGTGCACTGCAACCACATCTACTTGAGCTCTACAAGCAACCTTGACGCATACCACTAGTTCAAAACGGTGCCTTTTCACCGACGCTATATAAGGTTCGCTTCACCAGATGTTGTACAATGCACAGCACGAGCCAATTTAATAGTCTACAACAAATACGTGCGACAGTTACACGAGGTACCAACCGGAGATCACTGGTTGAGAAGCTGGACGAGATGTCCTGAACCCGAGCATATCCGTGGGTTCAAATCGTCTCTTGAGGCAACACCACGAGCTTCGTTCCGCTGACTTGCTTACTCTTCAGACGTTCCAGTCCAAAAGCGACGGCGGATAAGCCTCCGGAGAGTATCTCGATACGATTGGGCTAGCAATATATATAGGCGGTCAGTTGGGGCAGTAGTCTACTCCACGTCTACGCACTTCGATATCCCCGCCTTCGAATAGATTGGGAATGTTCGCAAGCAAGCTTGCACCCACTACACGATTGGTAGGAGTGGCAAGAAGACCCCTGGCAAGGTGCACCTTTTTGGACGTCTCGTCGCTCTGGGGGAGTCCCGAAGGAGAGACGACAACAAGGTCACCTTCGGGTGCCGTGAGGGCGTTCGCGAGAGGGAGCGTGTCAGGGAGTGATACAGCGTCGTAGACGAGGTCGAAGAGCCCGTCCGCCAGCTTCGTCGCCTCCACCTGGAGTTGTGCCGAGGGCAGGATGCGATCGATCACGGAAGTCGCACCCAGAGACTCCAGGTACTCGCGGTTGTGCGGAGAAGCGGTTGCGATGATAGGGGAAAACCCCGAGAGACGTGCGAGCTGGATCACTGGAGAGAAAAGCCTTTCCGTGAGTATGCTGAGTTGGAAGTAGGGGTGGCAAATCATCGACCGTATTGTCCAATGGAAGAGGATCCTCCAAGGATGAGGGCGGACTTGCTGTAATACTTGCCGCGGCCGCCCTCGACCCACGGCGGCGTGAGCCTGACGGACTGCGTGGAAGGGTCTTCGTTGTACAAAACGAGAGCTGCAGTAGGTAAGGCGACGGGGATACTTGCAGCACGATCCAATTGGATGTTCGCGGGTATCTGGGAATCATAGTCTTATGAAGGCTTCCTCTGGTACCAAGTTGTGAAACATACCTTCGCAGCAAGATGAGCGGCGGTTGTGGTATACTGAGAGAATGTCCCGTTGAGGGACTTCTGTACGGGATCGAGGGCCCCTTGGAATGCACTGGGTTGGGTTTCCTGAACATGAAGCACCACAGGGAAATGTCAATCATCGCCACTTACATTCGATCACCCACGACAAACGACGTCACACCTGCGCCTAATTGGACGACGGTGCCGGCACCGTCGATGCCGAGAATGCACGGATACCTCTCGATGAAGACACCCAAGGTCTGGACTTGCCAATCGATCGGGTTCAGCGCCGCAGCTTCGACCTTGACGAGCAGCTCCCCAGGTCCAGGTGTGGGGACCTCGGTGAAGTTCACAACAAGTTGTCCTCCTTTGGACTCGAGGTAGAGTGCTTTTTGCTGAGAAGGCATGACGGTGACGAAGGTGGTGCTCTCCGAAGGGGTTGTCGAGCGGGGCTTCCTACCCCAAGTTCCTTTATATTTGTATGTGACCCCTTACCTGACCGTTTCGGCCCCGAGAATGACTCTCTCAGGCACCTCGACAACCGATTCAACCACAGCAGCTATTTCAAAATGATGTCCAGGAAACTATAGTCCAGATTACCATCGGAGCTGTGGCCACAATGCATACGCTATTCAAGTTGGAGCAGGGCTTCTTTGTGCGATACTGTCCGAAGGCCCAATGTGGGTATCGAGCTCTGTTCACGAGGTCGTTCTGTAGGCGATCAGACGAGGTCGACCATTTGGATATCCCGAAATCGGTGAATGAGGAGAGTGGAATGAGCCATAGCATCATTCCATCTCTGTCACGAACCGGAATGACAGTAAGTCACATGATAGAAGGGGAACAAGAATGAATGGTGAAGCGGAGTTGCACTCGGGTGCCCTACCTGCTGGGGATCAGTGAGGACAAGGAGACATCCTACATCCATGTACGTGCTCACCTTGCATGTGTTCACGCTGAGCGTATGATCCGCGAACACGCCAAACAATCCAGAGGAACTGCGATTACACTAAAGATAACAATGGACGTACACTTGGGGGCCAAACGACAGCGAAACAAAGCAAACCTCTAGTACTGGGAAAAACGCTCAGAACAAACCCAAAAGATCGTCCTGCCCTCCCTGTGCCGGCTGTTGCGGAGGTTGAGGCGACAGAGCAGTGGGGGTGATGGATGGTGCTGCAGGCGCGAGTGGGGATGCCCCAAAGCCAAATCCTCCTAAGCCATTCGCAGGGGCGGGTGCCGCTGGGGTCGAGTTGAGGTTCGCGCCCCCGAAGATCGAGACGAGGTCATCTAGCGGATTGCTCGACGTTCCCGCCAATAGGTTCGCTGCTGCAGGAGTTTGTGCTAGGATGGTAGTGGCAGCGAGACCGGATGGCTGGCCGTCGCCTTGAACGTCGTCGTCGAAGTCGAGGAGGTTCTCCGCCTGTTGGCCGGCAGCAACAGTCTGGAGAGCTTTCTGCGTTGCGATGCGATCGTCCGCAAGTCTAGGTAGATAGCTCAGTTAGAAGTTGTAGAGGTTTCGAACCGGAAGAAACTACGGACTCTGCTTTCTTCTGCTGCACTGTATCCGCGCCAATGCGTCCCCGGCCAACAAACGTCTCCGCAGGTTTGTGGTATACGCTGGCGAGCAGGGGGATCTCTCCCAAGAGCTCCTCCAGTAATACAGCAGACACTGTTGTTCGGGGAAGGGTTATGGGTGGACGTACAGCGAGTACAACGGCCTGTGGACACTGGTCAGTAACAACAGAGGATGCGTTGTCAGGCTGCGCACCTTGGCAGCACCAGGATCTGTTGACAACAATCGCCAGTAGATGTAAGCACGATCGCGCACATCGGGCGAATCGCAGTCCTTCGTCGCCGTATTGAGCACCTTCTGCACGAGACCTTGCGAACTTTCAGGCTTTTGGAGGTAGAGCTTGACCACAGCCGTCAAGGTTTGTAGTTGTACCTGTCGTCATAACCCCATGCGACACAGGATGAAGCCGATAAGTCAATATCAGCTTCTTCACCCTTTGGAGAAACCATTAACGAGCTGTGAAGACATACAGGGTAGGACTCTTCCGTAAACGTGTCGACGAAGATACCAAGGAGCTCATCAGCGTTGTCGATCTTCTTCGCGTATTCGCCGATGATCCAGATAAGCGACGCCTTGGCTTCTGGTTCGTCAAGCTCGTCGAGGTTCGCGCATAGCGTCGGAATGACGCCTTCGTATGTTGATGGGTACTTCCGGAAGATGTCCTGTTTATATCGGTGTGTACGGCTAGTAAGCGATTGAACTCCGCGGGGTACGCTAGGTAGTCAGCGACGGGTAACGTACCTTCATCACGACCACAGCTTCCTGTACGACGTAGCTAACCCGTGTACCGATGAGCTCGAGCAGGACATTGACACAGCGTTCCGCCGCCTCGTCAATCTTGATTGCGGTTTGGCCGATAGCCTTGATACTTCTCCGGACGAAGTCGACGTCAACCTCCTGGGCGTACCTGACCACGGAATCTGTCAGCGCTGTCAAGATGATCAACATGCACGGGCAACACGACACGCACTCTTTTAGTTCGCTCAACAGAGGGTCTACGTTGTTTTCGGAGGCCAAGCGTACCATGATATCTAGCTTTTCGACCTTGACATACAACGGGTCATTGTACTTGCAAAAGAATACGCGCAACTCGTTCGACAAGAGATCCGGGCGCTTCTGGAGTAGGAGGTTGATGTTACGGAGGGCGACCCACTGCACCTCCGGAGGATTAGAGAGGAGGGTCACTAGTGGCGGCGCCATTTTACGAATAAGCGTCTTAGAGAGGTTTTCAGAACTGATGTCACGCATGTGGATCATCACGACCTGAACGGGCAGCTAAGACAGGGCAGTTCCAAGAGACGGAAACGAAGGCGCACCTTAATAGCGGAAAGGACAACGCTTGCATTCGCATGTTGGAATTGGGGCACAACACGCTCGCAGATATGCTCGCTCTCGCCAGCGTCTTCTGCGGTGTACCGTGCGAGGACGTTCAGAATCGCTACTCGACCCCATTCCGAACACTCGTTGAGCGCAACCAAGAGCTTGTTGACAATGTCGGTCGAAATCGGAAACTGGTCCCGTGGGACGCCCGCAGCGACGGCGGCGGCGTGTATGTCTGTCAGGGCAGCGACAGTGTTTGCTACCACCTTAGAGAGGGGGCGGGATGTCAGCAACAGGACACATCCACGGCCAAGGCATACGGTCTAAAGGAAGAGCGGCGTTCCGACGCTAGAATTTCCTGGACCACAAGAGCAGCAGGGACAGAACTCGTGGTCCGGCGGTCCTATATCGCTACAGGGACGTGCCAAGTTACCAGGCTATCTCTTGAACGCGAGGCGCGTTCGTCAAACTCGGGGATGTGCACGCGCTCTGTACGTTACACATTCGTACTGTGTGCTCCTCGCTTATAGATTCTGTGTTCGCGCGCATAGATGTCAGCGCGAGAGCTCATACGCCACCAATGGTTCGCATGTAACGCGGCTCACCGCACGCTATGTAGCACTACACTTCCGATTCTGATTGTAGGCTTGTATAGGAAGCCACCACGTCGGTGGCTTTGGATTCGAGGGCATGCAGGATAGGAAAGAAATGCACAGATAGGTATGGTACCACGTACCATAGGATTGCTGTCCGCAATCATGTCCCGCAGTTGCTCCAGAAACCCATTTTCGATCACAAGCTCCGGTTTCAGGTCGTACAGCTTCGCAACGCAGAGTGCCGCCGTCTTGCGCACATAGGGGTTGTCGTCCTTCAGACACTTCTGGAGAGGGTCGCATAGGTAGTCGATGATCTTCTCGGCACGGAGACAGCCCATAGTTCGGATTGCGAGAGCGCGTACGAGCGGGTTCGGGTCATCCGTGTCCTTTACGAAGGTATTGACGGCCAGGATCACGAGTTCCGGTTGTGTCTTGGCGTAATTCATGAGATATAGGTATACGAGCTTCTTCTGCTCAAGATCGTCCGTTTGCATGTTCTTCAGGACATCGGGGAAGAGACCGCTGACGTCTTGCATTCCTGTTGGTACAACGCTTTCGTCGGGAAGACGCATGACTCACCTTTTTGAACGGTCATATTTGCAATCACCCGTTTGATGGCATCCTTGCGTTTATCCTTGTACTCGCTATTGAGATCGGCAGCGAGTTCAAAGTTCTCTCCCTTTCGGGGCGGGGCGCGAAAGCTGGACATATCGTTGCGCTAAGATCTAGGCCCCTTCAGGTATAGACACGGGAAGAGCTAGTTGTATCCCGAATGTGCGTCAGTAGTACCAGCGATAGAGCAGGACGCAAGCCAAGCGAAGGTGATAGCGGAGATGACGACGAGAACGTCTTGCAAGTACTGCGATGAGGCTCTGCTGTAAGAAATGCGCGCTTACTGAACCAAGACATCATAAGATAGTGTTATTCACTATATTTTACTCTTTATTATGACTTCTTTTGCTGCTTGTTTACACGTACTTACCCAGTCGTACAGCGATCAATAACATTTCTTCTCGCTACAACGTCTATGTCACTCATAATGCTATAGCACACCCACCCACCCTGGTCTTCGCCAAGCACTGCGGAACGTCTGTTGTCTCGCACGCATTCTGAGGCACTTACATCATACAGCTCGTCGATGTTGAGACCACCACTCAACGGCAGGACGCGCATAGTTCTGAGAGCGCAGAACTTGGGTCTCATCTGACAACAATGCTGCAAGGGCAAGAGAAGAGAAATATGTATGTGATTTGGCATCTATGCTGGTGAATTTTCTCTGTAGAAGATGCTGATTGCCTGCTATAACTTGGAGATGTAGTTGCGAATCCATCTTCGTCCTGCTATTCAGTATTTTCGCGGAATCACTGGATGTGCCAACCTCGCTACGCACAACGCATTTCTAACGGTAGAGGACTTGAGTCCCGAATTAAAACAAGGTCAGCGTCCTCGTCCTCGTCGCAGACCTATTGCCGCTGGAGCAGGGTAATGTCAATCGAATGTCTCAAGAAGGTGCGGACCAGATCGGCAAGCTTCTCAGGACCAGGCCAATCACATGGTGGAATACATTACGGCTGATGACTAATTGAAGGAGGATGGGTACGTGGACCTGCTACTTTGTCTCTGCATTCCTGCGGACGCTCACCCCCTTCCTGCATTGGAGTTAGATAGCAATGGTACGCTTTGTGCCTGGCCACTGCCAGTTTCAACTTTCCTTGTGAGTTCCGGCTCTTGAGTGAGTACTGGTGGGTTTACCGCAATGCCAGCGTCATATTCGAGGCTCGCCTGCAAAACTCGTGTTTCTCGCGAATGCACCTCCCGATTGCATGCCAATCACCTGCTTTGAGCATTCGTTGCATGGCGTGCGTAGTCGCCGGAACGAATTTACCCCAGGACTATTCAGTATCGTTGCGTGTATGCACGTTTCGATGTCACTACTGACTAAAACTAAACCAGGGGGGGCCATCTGATCTCTAAACGCAACAGCCTCGTGGCATCTGTGGGTACTATTATCACGGGCGCTCCTTGCCAAAACGTGTCGAACCAGGGTACCTGACCAAAGGAACGAGTATTCACCACAAAGGATATCGCGAAGTTGTTCCCGTCTCCGGAGCGACGGCGGTATCGGCCTCACGATCTACGAAAGTTACCCATATCTTTGCCCACCCTTCGTCGATCGACGGTTCCACAGTTTTAGCATCACCCGGTACCGCTCGAGCATCCTCCGGCGAAAACGTGTTCAACACGTTCAGCTACCAACGATGCCATCTCGCATCGATGACTGCGTCGTGGCTGAAATCATCAACGGGGTTCAGGATTGGTCTCTCACGAGGCTCCCTACACGTGTACTTTTACGCTCGCTGCTCCTCATGATCAGGATACCCCGGTTCCGGGACCAGTGCCAAACTTCCTTCGTTCTAGTGCCGAAACATATCTGCCTCACTCCAGGTGGCGTTCAGGAAAGGATGATCAACGAAGGACGCACACCTTCCAAACATAGCACTTACGTTTCCCGGATAGTGAGTATATCTCCCAGCTTGTTTTCAGCGTGGCGCTATACTCACTAATACTAGTTTAGAATTGGCCGCTCGCAGACAGCACCCGCAAATTTCATTCCGCTTCATCTCGAGGATGACCATGGCATTCCTCCTGCACTCTCGGACCTAACGGTCAGTAGATTCGTGTATCAACGATCGATCTACGCTAAGCACCCTGCGGCAGCATAGCGATTATACCACCGAGGCCGCCGTACGCAGCTCCCCAGCGTTATTCACTAATGCTTAGGGCCTGCGCAGATTACGTATCGTTGCATACTCCTACCACAGATCTTGAACGTGCTTATGGCACGAAAAACAGCATGGTCATGGGTGATCGTGGGCGTATTCATACGCCCAACCGGCAGACGCCTTCTGAATACGTTCTGGGCCTGATGTGCCTTTCTCCGCATCATGATAAGCGCCAGACTCAAAGGAGGTTTGAACAGAGCGGTTCACCTTCAGGAACGCTTTCCAGTGGCGTCTTCCGCGGCCCGTACCTCACCCGGTGGCCTCATGATGCTACAACATGAAGTACGTTCATCTTGTGAGGTGCAATCCAATGAAATCTCACCCAAGCCCCGACATGTGCTTGTTGAGGGTAGGGAACCATCGCGAGGCCTACACTTCGCGTCGTACGGATTGAACAGCGGCGGGGCAATTGCGTACTGCCACACTGGTCAGTGACGCCCGGGGAACAACGTAATAACGCCAGACACGTCGGCGCGTCTCAAGCGACGCCGCTCGTCATTGCGAAATGTGCCGTCAAGATGCCCTGTAACCTTCCGTTGTGGCAACACGACGCGTTCCCCCGACGCGCGCTGGTCAACAAATAGGTCTTTCGCATCCCTGCCCACGTTGCATGCGTACAGTGATACTTAGCACGCAGTGCGGCGTTTCGTGCCGCATGTCGGAGCCGATCGCCCAGCAAGTACTAGTTGCCAACCGAACGAGCCCGCGTATCGGTGTCGCCACGGTGCGTACGCACTTCACACTTGAAAGGCAGCTGCGCACTCGTCTTCTGGGCTGCATCGTCTCACGCTGTTCGTGGCATCCACAGAGTGCCTACGACCCCCAGAACACCGACAGACGCTGCTCCGCGATGTCTGAGGCCGCGCTGAGCTCCAGAAGTCAGGATCTGTCAATTCGGAGTGAGCGGCACGCCTCGTGTCCTCCCACTTCGTGTGCTCTCTGGCTAACGGTTTTGAGATCAGCCTCTGACGGGCAATCTCACCAATAAATGTCGCATGGAAACGATGAACTCCCTTTCTCTTCATTCCCGGCTCGCACCCCGCTGTGTAATCCCTCCCGCGATCCTTCTATCAACGGTCTGACGATCCATGGGTGTCTCCGTCACCACGAGCCTCCTCACCGCCTGGCATGCCGCTGCTGTCATCCTGTTCCTCCTCATCATTCGGGGGGCTATTCTGCGAAAACGCAGGGGACCGATGCCTCCTGGTCCCGTTGGTTGGCCCATCATCGGCAACGCGCTAGATATTCCCCTGAACCACAGCTGGAAAACATTTGCCAAGTGGGGCGAGCGATGGGGTACGTTTCGTGATGCTTGCTTCTCGTACTGGGCTCATGAATCTGTAGGGAATCTGATGTCTGTAGTCCTCCTTGGGCAGCCAATGGTCATCATCAACTCGTACAAGCACGCGTACGAGCTGTTGGAGAAGCGGTCTGCGATCTACTCTGACCGCCCTCACATGGTCATGGCCGGCGACATCGTAGGCTGGGACCAAATTCTCGTACTCCTCAGATACGGTAACCAATTCCGCGAATACCGCCGACTCATGGCGCGCGTCCTCGGCTCGCGCAAGAGCGTGGAGGAATTCGTCCCAATCATCGAAGAGCAGACAGGGAAACTTCTAGCTCGTCTCCTCCGTGAGCCCGCGTCTGACTTGCCGTCACAGATTCGCAAGTACGTATCTCGATCCTTCAATTGAGCGTACTAGGGTCGTACTGCTGCCGAGACTTCTGTCATCAGCTTCGCGAGCGTCTCTCATGCTGACAAAAACTCATGACAGGATGACTGGGTCAATAGTTCTAATGATATCGTACGGGTATGAACCACAGGAGAACGATGATCCTCTGATCAGGATGGCAGACGAGGCCACGGAGCAAGCTGCCGAAGTCGCCCAGCCTGGCGCATTTTTCGTTGACGTCTTCCCATTCCGTAAGTGCCGCACTTCTAGCCGGCGCGTTCCTCGCATTAACTTTCTCGATGACATGGTTCTTGGACTCCGACTCGCAACCTGCAGTGAAGTACGTACCGTCGTGGATGCCCGGCGCCGGATGGAAGCGCAAGGGTGAGAGGTACAGGGCGAACATGGACCAGATGAGCGCTGTTCCACACCAATTCGTGAAGGATAAAATGGTGCGTTCCACCCGAGACGCCGCGCCAATGTATGCAAGTGCTGGGGCTAATATTTCCGATTTGATTCGTCCAGGGGGCTGGGACGGCGCTCCCAAGCTTTACATCCACGATGCTTGCCGGCAACCCGGCTCCAGACGAGGAGTACAGGATCAAGATGTCGGCCGCCTCGATTTATTCCGGTGGTGCGGATACGGTGAGATGTCCTGAACTGTCAGCTGAACCTGTCAGGAGCTCACGGTCGCTCATTCCTCTAGACTGTATCGGCCGAGCTGACGTTCATCCTCGCCATGAGTTTATGGCCGGCGGTGCAGAAGAAGGCGCAGGAGGAGCTGGATGCTGCTGTAGGACATGACCGTTTGCCAACCTATGCCGATGTCGTGCAATTGCCATACTTGAATGCAATATACCTCGAGACGCTTCGTTGGAACCAAGTTGTTCCACTCGGTGAGCAGTCGATTGCTCTTCCTTCTGCAGACGTGGTGTTGACAAGTATGTTCCCAGGTGTGCCCCATGCCACCCTGGAGGATGATGTCTATGAGGGCTATTTCATCCCCAAGGGCAGCATAGTCTGCATAAACCAGTGGTAAGGGTAACGCTTGGTACGGCCAAGGACGGTACTGAATTCTCTTGGACGCAGGAATATTTTGCACGACCCGGAAATTTACGCCGATCCCTTTACCTTCAACCCAGAGAGGTTTCTTTCTGGGCATGGCAAGGAGCCTGAGCTGGATCCCCGCAAAGTTGCGTTCGGCTTTGGCCGCCGGTGAGTACTCTTGTCTTGGTTGACCACAAGTTCGTCAATCTGATGATCCCATAGCATCTGCCCCGGAATCCATCTCGCGGAGTCCTCCGTACTTATGGTCGCTGCGATGCTTCTCTCGGTGTTCAATATCAAGAATCCCCTGAACGAACATGGTATCCCCATTACTCCACAAACCGCAGAACACACCGGCGGAACCATCAGGTATCTGCGTGTGTATGGACCGAGAGATATGCCAGTCGCTCATGAATGATCTAGTCACCCCGCACCTTTCACGTGCACGATTGAACCACGATCTGACAAGGCAAAAGCCTTGATTCTCGCGTTGCAAGAGCGCAGTTAGATCTCCCTCACCGCACCGATTGTCATCGGCAGCAACACTACTTCTTGAAACGACCCCTTGCCCATCATCTATGACGAGACAGTCTAACGCTGGCGTATGTACCTCTAGATGTTATGATCATGACGCCACTGTTTCACCTAGCTGTACTGTACAATCTCCTGCTCGCCATCTCTACGTATTATGCTCCTCGACAGTTATCGCTCTTTAGTCTTGCTGTGTGGTCTATTGTAGTGTCGCATAACCTCGAGCCTCAGCTCATTTGCATGGCCAGCATGCCTCAGGACAGACGTGCGATTCACGCGCGCACCTGACATAAAGAACGAACATGTGCACTCATGCACCCGTAAGTATCTGCAGGAAGAAGGATCGTTCATCGTCATCACTCAATCCACCGGCTTGAGCTACATCTTCTTCCCATGAGCTATATATGTCTCAGCAGCCCGGTTATACAGTCAACATGTGTGATATGTGCCTCAACACATGAGACAGCGGCTGCTTCCCAACTCAAAACATCTGGATCTACCTTCGCACACCTCTTCCTCCATGTCATTATACGTGAATGTTAGCTACCTATCTGCTTATTTCTCGCCACATTCGCGGCTGTTGCAACGTCGTCCGAATTGAAGGAATGCGCCCGAAGCGGCACGAAGGGCCCTATGTTGTTGGCGGAGGACAGAACGAGAGAGACTGCCGACTGCCTTGTTCCCTCTGGAGACGGCCGCATGTGGTGGGCGGTCGGGCAATGTAGGTGTCTATGAATAATGGGAAGACGTTGTATTGTCTGGGAGAAGGCACGATACATACGTGGTAATGTATACTGCATCATGTTGCCATCTCTTGATTACCATACGAGCGACGAAGACCATGAGAGGAAAGAGCGGGACAGACACAACTACTCAGAGTCCACGCTGATACATACACACCAAAGCGTGTACCGCAAACACAAGCCTGAATCAAACACGAGTACAACTGTACAAGTACAATTCACTGGAGTGGACCGTTAGCATCTCATCTTAGATGCCCATCACGAAACCGTACCCAAATCCCGAGCATGCATACAAAAAGCACTCAATAATTCAAAGCCCCAAACGAATGACCCGCAACGTTTCACCTTCGAAGATGGAAGACATTAGTACCGTCTACTGATTATCCAAGCCTTCATAGGCCAACTAGGTGAACTCACCCCCACACCCGTAGACTCTCAGAGACCCACCGGGCGATACTTGCTACACTCCCCTGAGAAGCAGTGGTGCCGTCCTGCCTCTCCTCCTTCAGGCAGTCGACCGCGCCGTCCTTTTCCACGTGACACACGGATCTGCCCAACGCATCAGCACCTGCGTTCGGCCCAAGACAGTATACACCGACTCCTCACCCTGCGCTGCAGAACTTGCCGTCTATGAAACAGTCCCGCGCCGCGCAAACATCAGTTGACGGTCCACAATGGATCACAGAGGAACCGCACGCACTTGAGCAACACTGAGCTCCGTTCAACGGATAACACGCCGTGCTCGAGCATGGGGCCCACCCGAGGGGACACTGTCGGTGAAGGCCCTTGGACGCGCCCAAGTACGACTGCTGCCGCTGGATCCCGTACCACCGCGTCGCCTCAGACCGGGCGCCCGACTCACTGCTGGTCGTCTGCTGGGCGCATACTTCAGACGCCAAAGCAAGCAACCATACGAGAAAGCAAATGGCGTGGATGGAAGGATGCATCTATGTAGCGGAAGAGGTAAGGGGCCAGGGCGCTTCTCCTGGGTGCGGCGGCTAGGGAAGAAACAACGAAGGTGAAGGCGAACGACAAAGGTGGAGAAGGTTGAGTGGAGCAACTGCAACAGCACGCATGTAGCGCCTTTATTGACGTCTGGGCTGCGAGGTAGTCACGGAAGCCAAGATAGTAGGACTCGTAGTCGGTGCACGGTCCGTGTGAGAGCAGCGATAGGACCGCGGTGTCATGGAGGACGGCGCGGTCAGATGATCGATGTTGTCGTCGTCGACGACGAAAGACGCCTTGCTCTTGTATAGAAGGCATGATACTAGAGGGCCACAATTCTCGATTCTCAACGCCCTCCCGCTGAAGAGCAAGGGACCAGCATCTCCCTGCGATCGTAACTGAGCATCATCATGTCTTCCAGCGGGAGAGCAGCGACGTACTCACCACACTACTCCCGCCGACTCCCCCGAACCGCGCAAAGCCTGCGGTCCGTTGCGCTCGCAACGGTGGCATTGTGTCATGGCTTGAACGAACTCTATCTTCGAAGAAAATAGAAATCGTTGGAGTTCGTTTTCTTCCAGCATACGTATGCGTCTCTGTGGTCAACAGCTACATTAACATGTAGCCAGTGAGCGGCGGCATCTGCGCGTAGTCGTGTCGAGCGCAAGGTTGTATCAGACAGGTGCAGCGCCTCGTATCGACGGCTGTACGCGCGACTGTCACACGACGCCTGTCAGCGAAACGTACGGGAACAGCCTGGACCACTGCCTCTACAAGGTTCAAATTACGAGAAAAGCGTGGCCAAAGTATAGTCTAGGAGAAGGCGGCACTGAGTGATTGGAAAGTAATCTCTTGGAGGTGGACGCGCACGAACCTCGCCTAACGCCATCCACCGCCCAGCCTCGAATGTAGAGCAAGCACCCAGGTGCCAAAGGTGCGGCGGATGAGGAACAGCAATGCACATTCTAAGGTTCAGCCAGATGAATACACCCGCAGCCGGTCACACATCCCTGCCCCCGATGAACTTGATAATGTTCTCGTAGACTGTGAACACAATCCCTCCGCTCAGCTGGTCCATGCGTCAGCTTCAGCGAATCGGATTGAGTCCGTGAAACCACGCACCACTAGCCTCGCCAGGCGCGGCGTCGTCCCGGTCCAGAATCGCAGGATGCCCTCCTCTGTGAAGATCCGGTACGCACAGTGGAACGAATTCCGGTACGCTTGTCGCGCCTCAAGGCTCTGCATCCGCGTCTTGATGACGCTGTTCGATACACGTACACATTTTCATCTTCATGTCAGTCGTTGTCGACACTTGTAGGTGGAGAAGGCGCAGAACGCACTCTAGGGGCATGGTCGTATACACGGTCACCAGCCCCGCGATGGCCCCGATCCCGAACGTCGTCGCGCTCGAGATGGACTGGCCCGGCCGGCCCTGGCTTTGCACCATCTGCTTGAGGGTCGTGTACGTCGTAAACCTCACCGCCGAATTCGCGCCTTGCCGCATCATCTGACAGCACCCGCACAAGCCTTCAGCCACGAGAATAAGTGTATGCGCAAAACAACGCGAGCTACGCACCACTGGAAACAGTCCACGATAGACACCTCGCAGACCTTCTTCTCGCACGATCACAGCCGTGCCATGAATGAGCCCGCGAAAACGCGGGTTCGGGCTTTTAGCGTCGTCGATGAGTTTCGTTCTGCGGCACACGCGTATGGTCAGGTCAGGTGGGTAGTCATTCAAAGTGGGACTCTGGAATCTCGCGCTAGGCGGGCCACAACACAAAACAACTCACTTGATGGTTTCCGAGGGCGTTACAGCAAAGATGGCTTCCATCATCCCCGCCCCCAGTCCGGCGAGCAAACTCCTAGGTGGGGAGACTTTGCCCTCACCCACGGAAATACGTTAGTCTCTCCCACTCTCTAGGACGTACATCGCAGCGCCTGTCTACGCGTGCACGGAATAGCAGCAGGTCACGCGGGGACAGGATGCTCACCTCAGCGTCTGCGAGGGCGTGCTTGAAGTGGTCGTAGGATACGAAGCGTACGCCTGCCTTCACAGCGTTGCCTACAACGAATCGCAACACCCCGGTATGTACTCACCTGAAGAGATGAGTGCGAGGGGACGTACCGATGACCAACGCCATGCATCCTGAGTAAAGGCCTATAACACCCTTCGTCTTCAACGTATCCCGGATGATCGCTATAGGACTTTGTCTCTGGTATTCCAAGACGAGTTCTTCAGTGTTCCGTTTGGCATGACTCGAGCAGGCGGGCACACCTTCCCGCTGAACTGGGACCGCGTCTTCACGAACTCGGTGGGGTACGTGATGAACCTACCATTCCACCAACGCCGCGGTCAAACAAAGGGCTGAGCAACATATATGCGGCTGAACTCACGCCTCGACCGCTCCCGCGGTCGTCCCTGCGATGAGCGAATGCAGCGGTTTCTCCTTCTTCGACATGGCGACTTTGTTGGGCTGTCCCCCTATGCTTCTGCAGGTCCAGAGAGAGTAAAACCACCCGAGCACTCGAAGGAGGGTCGTCGGACGAGATGACCGCCTCGAGCTACTTGCGAGCGTGAGGCAGAGACGCGGTCGCGTCCCTAAAGCGCGGGCTCGCCGATGATCTCATCCTCGCACGCGGCACATCCCACGCGCGCGGCTCCCCGTCTCAGGTCCTGCTGCCCCCTCTCCATTTCTAGTCCACGATGTCCAGTTCTATACCCACAAGCCCTTCCCTTCTACCCGGGACTTCTAGGAGGATTCGAGCTAGCCAGCTACAGTCGCAACCGATTCGAAGGGCGTAACGACTGATTGAGGCAAGACCCATAATGACTATGCCGACAAACGTCCTACTGCTCCGCGCGCCCTCCGAGGACGCAGGTGGGGTAGACAAGTACGAAGAAGCGTTCCGTACGCGAGGGTACCGCGCGATCAGCGTGCCCGTCCTCGAGACGGTGCACACGAACATCGAGCAGCTCAAGGAGACAGTGAGGAGGGGTGGCGCGGGGTACGCGGGGGTAATCGTGACGAGCGGGCGGGCGGTCGAGGCGTGGAGGCTCGTCGTACAGCAGCTCGTCGAGGAGGGCGAGCACACTGGTGCGTAACTTACGGGTAACTTGAGTCGCTACGTGGTGTACGGATGCAAACCGCTTCGTACATAGGAGAGCCGACCGCGAAGTGGTCAAGAACGCCGTTTTACGTCGTGGGGGACACGACCGCCGCTGCCCTCCGCGCCATCCCCTCCTCCCCGTACAGCCCACAGAACATCCGCGGGGCAGCCGAGTCAGGCACGAGCGAGAAGCTCGCACATTTCATCGCCGCCGACCTCTCTTCCTCCCCGTCTCCTTCCCCAAGCAAGAAGCTATTCTACCTGGTAGGGGACAAGAACCGCGACACACTCCCTACCATTATCAAAGACGCTGGCCTCGACCTCGAGAGCCTACAAGTCTACGCGACGCAGGGCTCCTCGCGGTTCGAGGAGGATCTGTTGAATGTCTTGAACAGAGTGCAGGGCCTCGGCAAGCACCTCAAGTTATGCTCGCGAGCGACGTTCGACTGACAAGGTCCACAGACCCACAAGCAGACGAGCGTTGGTGGATCGTGTACTTCGCGCCGAGCTCTGCGAAGTATGTCTCACCCATCCTCAGCAGACACTTCGATATTCCTCTTAAGGACGACGCGACCGGCAACTGTAGCGGTACGGGGAGCCGCGGCGCACGGCTAGCGGCTATTGGCCCGACGACGGCCTCTTCGCTTGAATCGGATTTGGAGCTGAGGATAGAGGTCATAGCGGCGAAGCCGACCCCCGAGTCGTTGGCGAACGGGATAGTGAGTTTTGACGAGCAGCAAACAGCTTGACTACTAGGTCGTAGAGTCACCATGCCATCGAGGAATTGTCTCGGTTTGTCTTCCAGGTCAAAAACGTGCAATCGCAAGCGAGGTTGACCCCAGATGCCTAGTACATCCTCCAGCGCCGTCTAGCACGTTTTCGTTTACTCTACACACCTCAACAACCGATATGTAGCAGTTCTAGTGGTGCGCCTCGTCGTGCTTCGGCTCGTCCGCCTCCAAGAACGCGAGGAACTGTTCAGCACCAGTCGGGCCCGTGATCTCGCCCTCGGCAGGCTTCGCAGACGCGGCGGCGAAGGTAGGCTCGGCTGCGTCCCATGCGGAAAGCTCGCCCGCGAGGTCAGCGGGAAGTGCGGGCGCCTGGGGCGCAGGCGGGAGGGAGTAGTTCTTGACGACGCCGACGTGAGCGTCCTTGGGCTGGGAGGATTTTGGGTGTCAGTTCAGAGTCTAAGGCACGTATGATGTGTGGGAATAGCGTATGCAGGTTTCAGAGCGAAGAGAGGGGACGACAAATGGCATAGGGTAAGGGAACAGGCGAGACACAGGAAGACGTCACTCACCGGAGGGGGAGCCTTGTAGCCCTTGAGCTCCTTGATGTAAAGCTCCTGGATAAGGTCTAAATCACAGAATAATGCCATGGACGCGTCGCATTGAGGGGATGGCATCGGGCACAGACAGGGAGCGATTCGTCAAACTCTGCCAGGCATGCCACGGAAACAGCAACACACACCTTTCCGTGCGACCGCAGACGTGGAAAAAGCGCACTTGCGCGAAGCCGAGCGAGCCTGTCAATTTCATCGGTATATTGAGCACCCCATGCACCCTTCCGCGCAACAAAACAGTGGAACGTACGGCGATAGCGGCCTGCCTGAGGACAGCGGAGGACATGGTCGATGCGGAAGAGGGATGGGCGTGACGTGACTGGGCAGGGTCACGTCGGTCGGTAGATGTCGGCTGGTTCCGGCGAGACGCGACTGGCTCTTCTGCAAGCGCCCGTGGAGGGGGTCTCGCCGTGCGGTCGCGTCAGTGTCATAAACAGTCCAGAGCCGTGCAGTTCTCTTTTACGCTCTCTCATCCACCACAACTACTACTCACGATGCTTGCCCGTATGACTGCCCGTTCTGCCATCCGTGCACCCCGTGTGGCTGCCACGCCCATCGCGGTGCGCTTCTACTCTGACCAAAACTCGTTCAAGTGAGTACACACGTCATATGGGTTGGTTTTCGGTATGGCTAACGCCCCGAGCAGCAAGAAGGAGAAGGCTCACGAAGGTGAGCTGAAGCGACCAAGCCTGAGCTAAGAACAGATTGCTGAGGAACACGTTGGAATATAGACCAGTACGCTCGCAAGCACGAGCAGGAGCAGCTCGAGAAGCTGAGGAAGCAGGTGCGTTCACTCTGCGCTCCATCCCGCACTGTTTCTCCGCTGAACTGGTCGTCGCGCTTCTAGATTGCTGACAAGCAGGCTGAGCTCGTGCGTGTCCGTTTATGAATCCACCTCCCTATGGGACTCACAATTGTCCACAGGAGAAGCTCCAGAAGGAGCACGACGAAATCAACAAGAAGAACTAGATGGATCGCACTTGCGTAAGAGCGCAATCCACCAGACACAAGGCAGAGAGAGAGCGGTACGAGCACCTGTGAGACCTGCTAGATGACCCAGCTGTCTCATCTTGGATTCACGCGTTTAGCTCGTTGCATCTACGTATGCTTCGTATATCTTGTACAATTCCGCGCAATGATACGTACATGGGCATGGCGCTCGCCTCTCTTTATCTTGACAACGCGTGAGGCTCGGGTTCATGATCATGACCTATATTGGATATGCGCAGCTGGATGGCAAGCTCAGTACTATTGCACGCAAGGCACGTGATATGACGTCTCTGAACCTCAACGTTCTCAATCAATCCTGGCCGTGCAACGTGCGCATCCGCGTAGGTCGTCTCTGAGCGGTCTGCCGTACGACTTTCTGCTGGCCATTCGAAGTTGGCTGTGGTCAAGCGGTCCTAGTCATTGGCATTGGCATTCCCTACCATCTGCCATCCTCCGGTTGGCATATTGGACGTACAATCGTCTATGTTCCGGTGAGTCAGTGTTGTAGTGATTCACTCCTGCCGAAGGAGACGTCAAGACCTGGGTAGATTCTTCTTCATTTAGTGAAGCGTCTCCTAGCCCGGCACCGAGGACGCCGAGTGTGCACATAACGTATCCCGGTCGGCTTTGTATGGACGTGGACACTCTCGGCACACTTCCCCTCTGTTCTAGCACTGGAGGCCTCGACCCGTGACACATCGTGTCCCAGCGCAAATCCATCTTGATCAGAGCCACCGTAGGATCATCATCTGGTTGGGTGTTCCATGCTAGCCCCCTTTGAAAGGTTTGATCAAACCGTATTATACGCTAATCCCGCTCGTTGTGCGGGGTGCGGCTGGCATGAGAGAAAGGTGGGACGCAGAGACATGATTGTCTCAACGTGGCTCAGGTTACGATGCCTCTACGATGGAATGCGTCGTCCCATGGTTCAATGCCCCCGGTGACTCAGCCAGGTCTTTCATGTCATTTCGAGCGCTGTATGCGTCGACTTCGAAATGACATGAGCATGAACTGCGCACGTAGTCCTCCGTGTTGCCGCAACGATGAGCCTGAAGGCAGTCGAGACGCTCCCACGCAACCTTCGACTCTTCGAGTTGTGGTTACCGCCTTTTATTGGTCCCCATGCTATGTAGCTGATTCAGACAGTGGAGAGGTTCAGAAACGCCCAAAATGAAGGCCCCCACCGTCGGCGCCGAGCTCCGCACACGTGACGAGTGCTGAAATCGCTCGTTCGGGCAAACGGCGTTTCTGAACCTCTCTGTCGCGATCGGGTTTGCCGGTGGGTCGCATGGGAGAAATGAGTGGGCTATGTCAACAATCATTTGCGGAGGGCACCTGCCATATCACGCTGTGACATAGCCGAGTCAATCTTGATCTTACTCAGGTGCCTTCATGCATGGTTATCGCATCGAACCTTCCCAGACGGGAGTCGCAACTGTGTGAGCGACGGGCCGGCGCTACGCTGGTTGGGCTGGTTCGTCCAGCGTATATATACTGCAACGAGTCCCCCTTGATCCTCAGAACATTGAAGACAGACCCGAGCCCTCACCCACATAACTTACGCTACCACTCGCGAACAGCCCACACAGTCAACATGTCTACCGGACAGCAGAAGAGCGCTTTGAACATTGTCATGGTTAGTTTGCAACATGCACTTGTTTCCCCACTCTACGTCCATGCTGACCGTCTGCCTCAGGGTGCCATGACCTTCGGTGAAGAAGGCAAGGACGGAGCCCGCGTGCACGACCTCAACGACGTCAAGGCCATCTTGGACATCTTTCAGAAACACGGCCACTACGAGGTTCGACCCTCACCCCAGCTTCCTACGCATATTGTTCCTGGTAGGTCTTTGCTGATCACGCCCGTCGAACCACACAGGTCGACACCGCGTTCGTCTACGCGGGAGGCACGAGCGAGGAGTACCTCGGCAAGATCGGCTGGAAGGAGCGCGGCCTCGTCGTCCACACGAAGCTCTACCCTTGGCCTGTGCGTTCTGCTCCTCATCGAGCGCGATGCGGCGCATCCCAGCGAGTCACATCTGCTGACATGACGTTTCTTTTCGCAGGGCGCCATCTCGCACAAGCCCGAGGTGCGTGCTATGCATCCATCCTCACGTGTTCGCAGGGATGTGGGGCTAACGTACAATTATGCGCTACTACTCTAGGAGTTGCGCAAGTTCCTGGATATCTCGCTGAAGCGCCTGGGGACCGAGTGCGTGCCTTCGCTCGGCTTGCTCTTGTTAATCACTAACGCTGCCTCATTTGCCACTTGTAACGGACAGCTCGATCGATATGTGGTATCTGCACGGCCCGGACCGCACGACGCCGTACGAAGACACCCTGCGGGCCGTCAACGAGCTCCACAATGAGGGCAAATTCAAGCGGTTCGGCATCTCCAACTATACGTCCTGGGAGGTCGCCGAGCTCGTCGGCATCGCCCGCGCGAACGGCTGGATCCAGCCGACAGTGTACCAAGGCATCTACAACGCCATCCACAGGAAGGTCGAGCCGGAGCTCTTCCCGTGCCTGAGGAAGTTCGGGATCGCATTTTACGAGTTCAACCCGCGTACGTCTGCCTTGACTCATGCTTGGTGTATGAGAGCTGACGAGCGACGTATCTGATAGTCGGTGGTGGTTTCTTCACCGGCCGCTACCGCTCCCTCGAGGACACGAGTGCCGCAGCCGACCCCGGCTCGCGCTTCGATCCCAACACCCGGCAGGGCCAGGCGTACCGCGAGCGGTACTGGAACGAGCGGTACTTCGGCGCCCTCGCCAAGATCGAGGCCGTCGCGCAGAAGCACGGGCTGACGTTGGCGGAGATCGCGCTCAGGTGGATCTCGCACCACAGCTTGTTGAAGAGGGAGCATGGGGACGCTGTGTTGATCGGGGCGTCGAGCGTCAAGCACATCGAGCAGGTGCGTACTTTTGTTTCGCAATACGAAGGGGACCTATGTGCTGACCGATTCGTGTACTGAATCATTCGTGTGCTGACTGATGCGTGTGCTGACTGATTTTTGTGCTGTAGAACTTGGTCGACCTTGAGAAGGGACCTCTGCGTAAGCCATCCCGATGTCATTCGTAGTCTTGCAACACTTGTACTAACTTCAGACTGTCCACTACAGCGGAGGAAGTCCTCAAGGTCCTCGATGAGGCGTGGCTCGAGGTGCAGCCATATGCAGCCAACTACTTCCACTAAACGCACTAGACACGCGAGTTTGTGTACGGAAGGAGATGTACGATGACCCTTTGCGCCATGGAGCAGTTTGGAGACCAGAGAGGTGATGCATTGGTTGATTGCGTCCTCTATCTATGTAAGCAGTGTAGGGTACTATAATGCGCGTAAGATACATGAACGATTGATTGCTGGAGTATATATATATGCAAGTAGCGGTGATAGGTTGATGAGTGCTGTGAGGACCGAGGACATGGCGAGACAGTGTAGGAAAGCAATGCGTACGAAGATCCCATGATATATCCGAGCAGAAACTACCAGTTTAGGGATGAAAGTAGACGACAGAGGATGCAGCATGCAAACACAGAGAAACGGGCAGAAGGCGACGATAGGTTTATGAGAAGAAATACTGCGATTCCTTGATCGCCTTGACGTCGAACTTGCCCTTTTCAGGCAGTGGCGGCAGGACATCGACGAGATTGATGAACCGGCCCGCCAAGCGCGCCTCGATGTCGGCCTCAGACTTGATCTTGCGCGGCCCGCGCTTCCTAACCACCTTCTTTGGCTTCTCCTGTTCAACCTCCGTCAGCGCCTCAAGCTCGTCCTCATCCTCATCAAGTGCGAGGGCGTCCTCATCGAGCATCTCCTCGTCCTCAGCGACTCCCTCTGTGAGCAGCTTCGTGTCTTCCGAGGTCAAACCGAGTTGTTCGGGGGCAAGGTTGAGCTTCTTGAACGCATTTCCGCGGAGGCTCACGAGCGGGATCTTGTAGTCCGCATAACGCTCCCTGAACTCGTCATAGAGGCCCTTGAGCACGTCAGATGAGTGGAGCGCGATGAACGTATCCCGGATGATCTCCGACATCTGGTCGATGCTCGATGCGTGCGTCCAGTACGAGTCGTGGACTGAGGCAAAAGTCAGCCCCCGCGCACGGCACTCGAGCGCGGTGAGCATCATATGCGTCGCGTCGAGGCTGTGGATGAAGTTGGGCGGGAACGCCGACGCCTGCTTCTGCGCATTCACCGTCGACGGGCTCGTCGGGTCCGAGATGAACACCGTCTGGATCGACGTCATCACCTGCTTGCGCTTTACCGCGCGGTACGGCTGGACGATCGGCAATCCGAGCGGCGTCGTCCACACGACGGACGTCATCTGCTCCTTCTTCCACCGCGGCTCCTTCTTGCGCGACCGCGCGTTCGGCTTCTCAGGCTCGGTGAACGACTGGACGAGGCGGTCCTGCGGGATCGCCTTCGCAATCAGGCGTGCGCACAGGTTCAACCAGTTCTGAATGTCCTTCGCGCCCTTGAAGAGATCGCCGATGGACGCCAGAACGTTCTTGGCGAGATAGGCAGACGCGCTCCAGCACATCTCTGCAGGAATGTCGCCGCGGTCTTTGAGCTGACGCTCGATCTGGTCGCGCGCACCAACGTAGGTGACGCCGTAGACGGTGGTCATGACCTGTCCCACGCCGTCAACAACCCCGTCTGGTACATTGGCGACACCACAAGCACTCACCGTCTGCTTGACAACCTTACGAGACACCTTGCCCTCGAGAAGCTTTGCTATGGGGTCGTCCTTCTTGATGTCTTCCTCAATTTGCTTCTCGACCATGTTGGCGACATACGTGTACACGTCTGACGGCCGATCCGCTGCCGCCAAGTTAACCTGCGCTGCACCCTGTGCGTCTCCGCCCAGCGCAGCATAGTGCTGCAGTCCGTTGCACGTCCCGTCCTGGTGGACGGGCAGTCCGCACTCATAAGCCTCCGGGTCTGGGGAGCGCAGCGCAGATGTGAGCTCCATGCACGTTGCGAGGCACTGCCAGGGGTCGTCCGCCTTCGTCCACCACCTTCGGCCCTCGAGCGGTTTGTCCGCACTGTCGAAGATGTCCTCGAGGTGCTTATGGACGTACTCGACGCGCTCGTCGAAGCTCGCCTTGTCGTACCCATACAGGTTTGCTAGATGAATCTTGAGCCACCGGAGACCCCGGGTCCCGAGCGGCTTCTTCTCTTCAAAGATGAGCAACCCGCGGCTCAGATCGTCGCCGATGTGCGACAAATGCGGGGGGATCGGGTACGCACGCCCGCGGAAGTCGACATTGTGCGGCAGGTAAATCGTGTCCCCGAGGAATGCACGCGCAATCTCGACCTTGTAGTTCACGCTGCACCGGTCCGAGTGGTTCGCGGCCTTGTTCTGCATCCACTGCCTCTGCCGCTCTAGGTATACCACCTTGGCCTTGTTGTCTGTGTCCATATTTTCTGGACGGACTGGCTCGGGCTCGTCCGGGATCGCCGGGGGAATCTTGGCGAACCGCTCGCCCGAATTCCACACCTGGAGCACGACGTCGAACACTCGGCGGTTAATCTGCCACGGCGTGCTGCCGAGCACATCAAGGCCAGCGAAGACAAGCTCGAGCCGGCCCGCTTCAGATGCGTGCCGGAGATAGATTTCCTGCTCGCGCGAATCCTTGAAGCGCATCGCCCACGACCGGCTGTACAGATAGCCGCCGTTGTTGTAGCTCAACCACGGCTTCGGCTTGACGAGCATCGGCAGGTGCCGCGGGTGCAGGGTGTCCGCAATCGGATCCTTCGACATCCGATCCGCGACCGCGGGGTTGAACTTGATCACCCCAAGCTTGCGGCCGCGCTGGTACTCGTACGAGTGCGAAAACGCGGGCTGCTCCTCGGTGCTGGGCGGACGGCGCCTCGGTCTCAGTCCCTCGTCACAGCAACACAGACAGGACGGCACTCACAACTTTTCGCCCGTCCGAGGGTCCTGTATGGTTCGGCTGACGGTTGCGACGTCCATGATGCAATCGAGCAAGAAGCTCCCCACCTTCACACGAATCAGCTGCGACCAATCCGACGTCCACTCCTCCGCATCCTCCATGTACTTCGCCGCCGTCACCCTCCTCGCGTACAGATCCTTGTACCCATCGCCCGTAAAGATGTTCTGGACGCCCGCCCGCGGTGCGTTCACTGCAGGCACGGGGATCGAGATGTTGTTCTTCTTGCAAATCTCCGCCTTGTGCTCCGCCTCGACCGCCCGGCCGACCGACAGCAGCGCCCGCGCGGTCTTCATCCCGTCCTGGACGCCCCCCGAGCCATGCAGATTCATCATTTCCATGATCGTGATCAGCGACAGCTTCTCGGGGGAGAGCATGCGGAGAAAGGGGCTCAATAGGATCTCTTCGGACTTGGTCGAACGCCTTTTCATACGAGCTGGGAGCGCATATAGCGTGAATAGACGTCAGGTGAGCCGAGGTATATAGAAGCCAACTTACCCAGGATGCGCTCCTCGACGATCAGGTTCTCTACCTCGGCCTTGATCCGCTGCTGTAGCTTTTGATGCCACTCCCACATCCATGACTTCAGGTCGTTCGACTGGAGGCCCTTGCTCGGCAGCCCGAGCTGGTCCATCATCTCCGCCTGATGTTTCATCCGCTCGACAGCTACGTTGTAGACTGACTGCTCCAGTAGTCGCTGACGAGCTGCGACGTCTTCCGACAGCACTCGTCGCGCGAGCACAACCTGCGACAAGTGTCGTCGAAGAGTCTCGAGATTGAACGGAACTTCGCCCTGAGCGCGCTCTGGCAGCGGTTCGTCAGTCGCAAGCTGCGTGACCCTCCCGTCGTCATGCTGGACAACCTCGATTTTCTGTCCGACGTGAGTCCTATTGACAAAACCGATGAGGGAGTCCTTGCTCACCTTCGGCCGCATCACGGGAACAACCTCCGGGACGTCCTCCAACGGGTCCTCGATCTGCTTGCCCAGGAACTCCGTAAGACCAAGCTCATTCACCACGCTCGCCAGCCCCATCTCCGCCGCAGCTTTCGACAAAGCCTTGATTGCCTCCGTCGCCTCTTCGTTCGACGTGAACGCCCTATCAGACACGACCAACGCGGGGGATATCTGCCGGCCGATGATGTTGCGCAACAGCGACACAGGGTCGTGCACCTCTGCTCCACTGATATAGACAGGCTGTCTCGAGGAATCCGGGTTGTACCTCAGCCAGGCCTGGAGCATGAGCGCGTATGTATTCGGCGTCGGATCGACCTTCTCGTGCCCACGCTCCATGTCGTTGTACAGTGCCCAAGCATCCTCGAGCCAGTTCGGGCGGTTGAGCTCTTCGCGATGGGCCATCTCCAGGTACGCCTCGATGAAGGAATTGTACATGCGGGCCTCGAGGATAGGGTCACCTTGCCGTGTCGAACGCAAACGCTCAAAGATACCCTTCGCGCGCGGGACGTCATGAAGGCCGCGAAGACACGCTTCTATGACGGAGACCTGGTCCTGGGTCGGCGAGTCGGTGAAGAATATGTCGCCGGGTTGAGAGATGACGTCCTCCGGAGTGGGAGTAGGTAGGATGGTGTAGGGACTGCGTCGGTTGAGGAAGCCATGCATGTCAGCGTGGATGGACGAAGGCCGCTTCTCTGAGCCAGACGGCGACGGCATGAAGGGAGGATATTCAGAAGGAACAGCAGAAGGGGCTGTCGCATGCTCCTGAGAGACCTTTTTTGTGGGCGTAGAGTAGAGACGAGCAGGCCGAGGAAGGGTCTGACGAGTGTAGGAGACGAGGGCGACTCCCCGAGCCGCGTTGCGTCGTGTGAGCGGAATCATCGTCAATAAGACCTTTCCACCTGAGCAGGGAGAGAATGCAAAGGAAAATTAGGAAGGTTATAAGGTGAGAGGAGAACCAACAAAGATTCCCTCCTCCGGCGTAGAGAGCAAGCTGTAACTGCCGTCGCAGCTGCAAAAATGGGCGTCACTCTGGTATTTGTCGCTGACAAACAAAGCCACGTGAGTCTCCGGATTGGGAAGGGGCGGGATTGATGCGCCCTACCCAGATAGGATGAAGCGCCGACCTGGCAAACGTACCAAAAGGTATGTATGTAAACCTTCACATGCGCCCGAATGTGGATCCGGAACGGAGAAGCTGCCATGACAGCACGCTGTATGCAGCATGAATGTAGAGAAGTGCTCGCCTGACAGTATTAGATAGCTGCAGTGAGTTACCTCAGGAACGAGGCCCGACGGTCCAGCACACGACGAAGGAACTTGAGGTCTCAGTTTGGGTGGGGGAAGATGGGAGTTGAAGTTAAGGAGGGTCGTCGCGAGTTGCAAGTCTTCATACTGCCTTGAAAGTCATGCGTCATGGATGTCGAATGACGTCGCATGACTAGGTGTCGGGGGCGGAATCGGGCGAGCGTGTCGGTCTGCTATACAGTGGCCGCGAAGGAAGGTGAACAGTATGCGGCAGGCGCAGGATTGGCAGTCAGAAACCCCAACATTCACATTCCGCCACTAGCGGTTAATACAACTAGCGGTCAATACACTCAGTCAAACGCCGTCCATTCTGTTTGTGTGCAATTTGCACTAACGTCAGGTCCCAAAGCCGATTGAGGCAATCATAGCAGGAGCAGTATTATAGGACTAGTCAAAGTTGCTGAGCAGGTATTAAGGTCGTGGGCACATCACCCCCACGTGTGCTAAGTCTCGTTGATCTGCAGAGAAAATCAGACTCTACCAAACCTTGCCCCTCTTCTTCCTTCGATACCTCGCCCCAGCGACTCGTGGTTGCTTCTCTATAGCCGCTCCTGAGGCGTTACTCGCGGCAGTGTCCCGCCTATCGGGGTAGAAGGAGGTGCCTATAATGTCCGCACTCAGGCTGAGAGTATCCACCTACACTCGACATCTCTGCGGTCAATGTAGTCAACATCGCCACAGGCTCGAGCGCAGATGGCACGCACGTCACCTCCAGCTCCTACACTTCGGCACTAGGGTCACGGACAACGGAAAGGATGTACCCGCCGCCGAGGGAGATTGCGAGGCCGTCGACCGACGGCTCATCCGCAGCCCAATTCCAGGAGACTAGGTGGTTTTTGGTATCCCAGGCGGTGACGGTGCTATTGCTCGCTCTACTGGGGAACCACCTCCCGTCTGCAGAAACAACAAGCGCAATTACAGGATCTTCATCGGCAAGCGAAGGACCTACTCGTTTTCAGAGAAATAATCAGTACAGCCATAAGGAACGGTTCATGGTAAAACAGGCAGTACCTGGCGTATAGAGCTCCGCTTCGAACGGATTTTCCCTGCGTGTCTCCAAAAATATATGCTGAATGCAGACCAACGGGTCTCGTCCGCACTTCGGCAACACGTTCACTCTGTGTTCCATCTGGAGAACCGCCTTCAGACGTATAGGAGCAGCCCCAGCGGCTCTTTCCCTTTCGAGCTGGAGGTAGCCGTCCGGTGTGACATCGAATATAAGGAAATCATGGAGGTTGAGTGACAAGTCAGAAAAACTGGTGATCGCTACATCCACGTCTGTTGGGGTGGGAGCCTGCTCAGCCTGGGTAAATCCTGGCGTGAGATCCGCTCTGAGTATGCGGCTTCTTCTCTCCCGTCGTCCGTCAGGTGCACACATGGTGACAGTCAAGGATGACAGCCGCGACAAACGAATACGTTTCCAAAGAGTCATAGACTCTATAAAGCAAAAGTTGTCAGAAGTCAGAATCGAGCCCGCCGATGTTCGGACCTTCTACAATGTCCAAGTCCAGCGCCAAGTGCTCAACGCAACCCTGAGCTATCTCTAGCAAGAATGCAGTTATGCGCCCCTCGACACGGTTCTTCATCTATGATAGAAGTGCACGCGTTACAATTGAGCAGAAACTAGCGAAGTACAGACGAAACTCACCGACAACCGGCTGAGATGCTTGAGGTGTTTGATCAGTCGTTGTTGTATCAAGTCTTCGATAGCAGCCCTGGGGCACTCTTGCAGAGGCCCTCCAGCCTACGCATTCTAAGCTTCGAACGTCTGAAAAGGCTAGGAGAAGGCGTCCTAGGTCCGCGAGACTTGGGAATTCGAGCCCACTAATGGTAAGACATTGGAGTTTCGTCCCGTAATGCTTGAATCCGGACAACGCCCTTTGGTGCAGGAGAAATGTTCCTCCGTCACGTCCATGTATGCGCGAGTCAACAATCTTCCAAGCGGACAAATTGGGGAGCTTTGTGAAGAGGGATACTGGGACAGCCTCAAGGTGGGCACAAGGTGCTTCTCCGTCAGGGTCTGTCGAGATCGTGACTCAATGAACAAGTGAAGGGTGCCATGGACGGTCATCGATAAATCTAGAGGCAGATAGCGTCTGCTCCAAAGTGCAGATACGGATGCGTGTGAAGAGATGGAGACGAGCACGAGGTAGAAGGGCGCGACAACTGAGTGCGAAGCTCTGTAGCGTCCTTGAAATGTCGCCGAAGATGTCAATGATCCTTTCGATGACCTCCGTGGGGAAGCTGCAGGGAGTAGACGACATAGTAGCTGGAGAATGAGGACGTATGCTACAACGATGAATTGTCAGGGAGATGTCAGCGTAGCTATATATTCACCGGAAGTACCGCGCTAATCTCTAGCACCTTCGTTCATCTTGTACCACTATCCAGATGGATATGATGGATCTTGTTGGTGTCCTACCTGAATAGAGGAGATATCTGCTAGTATGTAGCCGGAGCCCTCCCACAAGGTGCCCATTGTCGGGTGGCTTAGGACCCACCTTTCTGGATGTACCATGGACGAACATAAGGAAAAGAAGCCAAAGCAAGGCGATGAACATTCAGGAGCGACGGATGCAAGGAATCGCACTGGGATATCCGTAGTGGCGAAAGACAGGCTCGACGCTGGCCACCTCATTAGCTCCTAAGTAGTTCCCATTTGTGAACGAAAACACCTATAGTGATTGCCATGTTTACGGACCATATGCTTCATGGAGCGCTGCAACCTTGCTTGATATCCTACACGACAGCAGACGATTTTTGTACTCCATCATCCTCCAGGATATCGCGCTCCCGGCGCTCCCGTGGTGCCACATGTATCATCATGTCAGGGTCCGAGGGTATGCGACGAGGACTCACAGATTCATTCTGCGGTCGGTTTGTGGAAGCAAAGATTAGCCCCCATCACGCTGACCGCATAGAGACTGGGAAGAGGGCGCCATATGTACTTGGCAAAGACATTCAGGATGTGAATACAGTGTTACGTATGCAAAAATTTCAACGACGAACCATTCATATCCATGATACGACCTTATATCCACAGGTGAGCGGCTGCACGCTTGGGAATACGGCGGAGATCCCCCATATGGCTTCGGCGCATATATGAAGACCGTTTGTCGTCCAGCATAACTTCAAACGAGAGGAAGTCTACTGACTCGCGCGACTCGCGCAAATCGGGGTAGAACTGGGCCGACCACGGTGAATTTCGTATCTGCAGGAAGGAAGCACAAGAGCGTGTGGTCTGGACCATGGACGTCAGCCTTGGAAGGATTAGGAGGCACATCCTCAATTTGGCAAAAGACGCAGGCGGAACCAGGCATGTTGGCGGTTCGAGGGCAAGTACCGTCGAGCTACTCGAAATCGGAGAGCTCAAGTCGATGTAGCGGCGGCCCCGCTTGATCCTGGTTCGGGCCGACCGGCTGCTGGGTCATTCAGGCGCCTATCATAGTGGGGATAAACTCGAGGGCGAGAAGGCGTTCATGAGGCTCTAGGACGAGATCATGCGAAAGAACTTGGACATGAGCCTCTTCGCATTCGGGGACAAAGTGCCGCACGGCGACTTCAGCAGAGACGGCATAACGCTCCACCCTAAGCCTCATCCCGTCAGTCGATCACAATACCTTCTAGCGTTTTCACCCCATCAATTCAACATCGCAGCCTCGTATATGCCCGATATAGGCGCTCCCCCCAAAGCAACCAAGGTGCGTCAATGTTGCACAAATCTATCAGCATTTGTCGTTGAGTTACCCGAACGCTCTGCTGAGCAGCCTATCACAAATGGTCAAACTGTGGTGACTGGCCCCTTCGGCGCCGTCGAGCTCCCACGAATCTCAGTGACCAATAACGACGTCAAATTGCGCCTCCCCGTGTTCGACGTTGAGGGCGTGACTGTTGCCGTGCTTCAGTGTAGAGATGCTGACGGTGATCTACTAGGCTTCCTCCTGCTACGCGATGAGTTTGGAAGAGACCCCGTCCGGCCGCGCTATTTCACTGGTGTCGGTTACAAGCGCTCCAATGCTGGACCGCAGTACAGAGCTCGTCTAGTCAGCCTAGGTCAAGACCCGAACGACCTTCACTTTGACGGCAAACGGGTCACAGCGGAATGGCGTACAATCTTCATGGTTTCCAGTCCTCCGGACCGGTTGTCCCCAGGCGCAACAACGGCGCTGCTCACTATCAACTGCACTCCGGCGTCACCATTCCGCTTCCCTCACTGGCTGGTGTCGAGATTCGTAGCACTGCGGTTCCGGGTGTGGGAAAGTCGCAATGCTGACGGGCTCATCCGGATGTCCATAATGCGTCCCGCAGGACCCGATCGTATCTGGCTCGACCTCGGGATCTGCAAAGCAGACGCAGGTGCTCCTCTCTGCCGCTGGTCGAAGGTCACGATACTCTACGAAGGCAGCTACATGCCGCATGAAGATGTCTCCCGTGCGCATGACTGCACCAAACACCATATCGACTGCTGGACGGCACAGTCGAAGGACTTTGGGGACGCAGATCGAACGGTGCGGGTGTCCTTCACGCCGTGCAAGCGGTCTCCGGAGACGACGCGGGTCGTTCATATCGAGCTCTTCGGCCGCGTCTACGCCCAGATGCTCCTGGAGGCGACCATCACCTTTCCATCCCTCGACGATCGGCACAAGGGCGTGCAGCCTCGTTCAGACCTAACCTAACCTCGGAGCGACGCTGGGCGCAAGGCTCGGCTCTTATATACACGACTGCCGTCACCGCCGCGAATCGACGAGTACGCTTGGTACTCGGGGCTCGACTACTCAGTAGGTCGGTCAAGCTTCAAGTTGGCAGCTCCCGCACCAGGTCTATCCGCGATCCGATCTTTGTCGTCGACGAAAACCTCACGACTTTAGCGGCAGACTGGAAACACCTGAAAAGCCTATTCGGGATCGCGCTTTCCTCTGCCATAGCCACTTTTGGCCGCTTTCGCTTCATGAATTTGCCGTTCTCTGGCGTACAGACTTGTACATCCCTACGAGAGCGACTTGCAAGACGGGTGGCCGAGCGCCGTACTGTATGTCAAAGCTGCGCGACCACGCTCTCGGCATGGTGACCGGCGCTCGAATCCCCCTGTACTCGCGACCGAACTCGTTACGCTCCACGCTCCAGCCAAGCCTACCCGACCTAGGTGCAAGCCCCAGGCAGCGCCACGTCCGCACGCGAAACCCATGGGACCCACCAGCGTCGGTCTTCAAATGTATGACGTCCCTGACGTCATCCCCCCTCCGCACCGCTGCCCCCTCCTTTCTCCACCACGAATGTAGCCAACGCTCGCATGGCGCAGTGCATATAAACCCTAGCCCGCCTCTCACGCCCTCTTACAACTTCATCGAAGCTTCATCCCAAACCACTTCACGACCAACTTTGCGATCTCCATTTTCACCACCGCGCCAACCACCACCGCAACCATGTCCTCCACCAACGACTACTCTACGCCCTCTCGCCTCCCCGCCGACGCGCCGCCGCCGGCACACCACCTCCACAAGTCGTCCGACGTCCTCCCTGGGGCGCGCGGCGCCCAGCAGCAGCACCAGGACGCGCCCCCCGACTACTCGGCGGACGTGACGGAGAGCCCCGACGCGTGGAAGGGCAAGAACGAGCGCGCGTTCGGCGCGGGGACGGACACGCGCAACGTGATGGCGGGTGGGCAGTTCGACCGCATCGAGGAGGACGACGACGGCGGCGGCGGGGAGCGGCCGCTGGGCGTGCAGCCCACCGCGCAGGGTGGGTCTCCGTTCCGTTCCTGTTTCGGTGTGGGATGCGGGGAGTGTGGGTTACTGACCCTTGTTTCTGTGCACTTCTTTGCACAGGCGGCGTCGCTGTGGGCGGACGCTCGGATCTGCCCGAGACGCACGCGTCGATGACGGACAAGCTCATTGGCAAGACGCAGAAGGTGGGCCTTCGCTTTCGCGGCACTGACCTGCTGGTGAACTTCTGTCGCTGACTCCTGTCGATCGACGTAGGTTACCGGGAAGATCACGCGCAACCCGGAGATGCACGAGAAGGGCGAGCTGCGCGAGGCGGGCGGCAAGGCTGCTGTTCAGGGCGAGGCTCGTGCACCTCATGACTAGACGAGCTGGCTGGGTGAAGGTAATTAGCGAGGTGGCTGTATCGATGTGTATTTCTAGCCTACCTGTACAACTATCTGTAATGCTCAATCGCGGAATATGCAACGGCGTTTCAATGAGAACGTCGCTGTTGGGTTGTCGCTGTCTGAACGTTGGTTCCCTCGGCCTCTCGGCTAAGAAGCACATGTGGTCAGCAGAGCAGCGCGTTCATACAAGCCTACAGTACACAAAATGCGAAAGATACGAGACAGCAGATGCATCATGATCTGCACTGCTCCACGACGATAGTGAGCACCTTCCACGTGCGGCAAAGGGTCCGATTTGCATGGCGACCCTCAGATACCAATCCCCCTCCAACCTCCAAGATAGCATGGAAACGTAACTAGCAAGCAATGCCGGTATGCAGTAACGCAATACCCGGAAGAGGTGACACGGACAAGAAAAGCGCAGAGACGTCTATTGTGCGGGCAAGTCGCCCTTCTTCTTGCCCTGCGTGAGCGCCTTGTGCACGAACGGGAGGACACCTAGGGAGGAACCGCACGTCAGCACGGGCACACGGCCGATAACGGAGACGCAGAGGCGCGCACCTCCGCCGGCGATGGTCGCGCGCACGAGCGTGTCGAGCTCCTCGTCGCCGCGGATGGCGAGCTGGAGGTGGCGCGGGGTGATGCGCTTGACGCGGAGGTCCTTGGACGCGTTCCCTGCAGCGCACGGTCGCAGCCGTCGGCGTCAGCTGCATCTGCTCGCCTCGTGGACGCGTGCGGGCGGGGCGTACCTGCTAGCTCGAGGACCTCCGCGGTGAGATACTCGAGGATCGCGGAGGTGTACACGGCGGCTTTTGCGCCTATCCGGAGGCTGTGCTGCGTGCGCTGCTTGAGGTACCTGTGGATACGGCCGACGGGGAACTGTGAGGGGGGGGGGGGAGCGCGCGCGAAGGACAAGCCGAGTCAATATTGAGCGTGCTGCATTGCGCGCGTGACAACAGATAGCAAGGCTTGACACTGCGCGCGGTCCGGAGGGGGGATAGGACGAGACGAAGCATACCTGAAGACCGGCCTTCTGACTGCGCGACTGGAGCGGGGGCCGTAGGGGCGCGGCGGGGGTGTCTTGGGGAGCGGGCGCTGGTGCGGAGGACTTGGACTTGCCTCCGGTCTTCTTTGGGGAGGGCATCTCGAGCGCTCCAATTGTTCGCGCGGGTGCGGAGTAGGTTGAAAGGTAGTCGGCAGACTGTTATGGCGCAGCACAAGCGAGAGTAAGTATTGTGCTTCAGCGGAGTATGGCGCGCGGCAAGTGACGCGTTCGACCCGCTCTCGCAAGGGCGGGCGGACGGAGTTGCGCAGGCGCGCGATCTGGACGCGCGAATACGAAGAGAGAACGCTTTGGGCGCGCGAACGGGGAGGACTGACCGAGGTGATGCTCGGGGGACGCTGGAGCTTGTGGTGGTGGTCGGAAGACAAGAAGGCTCGCAAGCTGCCGCCGCCACGCAGCGTTCCCTGGCTGCGAGTCCGCCGTCTGCGCTGCACAGGGGCCGCTCTGCCCGATCGGTCGATAGCGTGGCCGTGAGCATCTCCGATCCAGATCTCACAACAAGATCGAACCTTGACGCGTCGCGCTCGCTATCACGTGCACGGAGGGCGCGTCGCGGACCAGGAAGCGTCATAGTGTACTTACTACGCCGTGGAGTCGGTCGTGCCTGCGAGGCGCATCATCATATGTATGTATCGTCCAGCCTGCCCGAGCAGTCAATGCATGGTGCACAGCCCCCTTGTAATCTCCAACAATAGCTTCAGACGTCAATGCACAGGGTGCATGTTTGCGTGCATGCAAGTGGCTCGGCTACGGGCTTGGAGCCATGATAGAGGACGGGAAGCGAGAGGTTATCGCCTGTCAAAAGCCCGTCCGTCCTTGGCGAGGCTGCCTCGCTCCACCTGCCCCGGCTCGCCTCTAGGACGCCGTCACCGTCTGCAGATCTCCACCAGTATATCCTCCCCGCCCACGATCTCCCCTTCTCTATCTCTCCTTCTCCTACGGCTATCCCATACCACCATGGCCATCTCGCGCGCGTTCCACATACCGGGCATCCTCTTCCTCTTCGTCTCCTTCCTCCTCCTCTTCCTCGTCTCCATCGGTCTCCCCTTCCTCACCGCCCTCGACTTCGTCCGCGTCCACTTCAAGGACGGCCTCCCCACCGTCGGCTCAGACACCACTGCCATCAACCAAATACGCGTAAGTCTCTCTCATGTGCCACGAACCTCGCCACGTTCCCTGACCAGGCGATTCTACCTTCGCTGAATGCAGCTCGGCACCTGGTGAGTGGCACCTTCATAAAATCGAGTTGGGATGCGCGCTGAACACGAGTCGGCGCACGCAGGGCGGCGTGCTGGTACGAGACCGACGGCGACCGCGGCTGCAGCGCCGCACACAACGCCTACGCCACCACCATCTACGACGCCCAGCGCCAGGGCTTCGTCCACATCGCACCCTCCTGGACGCGCGGCCTCGCCATCCACCCCGTCGGTGCGTGTTCCACTCGTCGCAGGACACAAAAAATTTACTTAACTGACGACGGGGCACAGCCACTGCGGTGACGCTCGTCGCGCTCGTCCTCTCCTTCTCCACGCACGTCACCGCGCGCCTCCTCGCGTCCCTCGCCGCCTTCCTCGCCGCCTTCCTCACGCTCGTCGCCTTCCTCTGCGACATCGCCCTCTACGCGTGGGTCAAGCACCAGGTCGGCAAGCTCTCCAACGTCGGCTCCAACACCGACACCGCCCCCGGTGAGTCTCGTCTCCCCCCTTTACCCCCGCGCCCTACCCGGACCTCCTGGACTGTGTTCATATTCACGTCGTTTTGGACGCATGTACTGACTGACGGCGCGTGTGGGGCCGTACAGGGTTCTGGATCACGTTTGTGTGCTTCCTGCTGCTCACGTTCGCGGGCTGCACGGTGTGCTTCGGGCGCAGGCGCGACCGCCTCGACGGCGCGACGACGTACTCGTACTCGTGGAGGGACCGCTTCCGCATCGGCCGCAAGTCCGCGGTGTGAGCGCGCGTGCCGTATACCAGATTGTTTGTTGCTCGCCCCCCTTCGGACGCATTCTACGCCCACGTGTGTGTTTGTTGGACACTCTTTGTTCTGCTTCGCGGCGAAATCGGTATTGTTGCTCTAGATCAGATACCACACAGCGTCCCCCTTTCTTCTTCTGCATTCACGCCTTCGGCCGTTCGTCGACGGACTCGCGTCGGTGCTCTTGCCCCCTCTTGGCTTAACCGCTCCAAACGATTCATGACCGACGTGCTTGATGATGCTATGCTTTGTGCTCACCCTTGCGTCGTATTCTACCGTATCTCCCTTAGCTTACCCTAGATGCTTATATCATGTTCCGGAGTCTGGTCTCCTCTCGATTACCGACTTGCTTTGCTGTCTTTTTCCCCGCGGATATATCTGCGTTCGACGACGCTCCTGCAACTTTCGCGTGTTGCGTATATGCGTGACGTCATCTTCACCAGAAAAGGTATGTGGGTTGCCGTTTGTGGATGTATGTTTCACGATGCAAGGCGAGTACGAACACTTGAGTACTGAAGATCTTTCCCCCTACTGATCACAATTTGTTGCCAGTATATCGCTCTGCGACTACTGGGCGCATGCAGAGGAAGGCATACCCCTCATTCAATGGCGCTGGACGATGTCTATGGTCCCTCCGATATCCTTGTACCGGGGGGCATCGACCTGTGGCACATTGTGTCCCATCGTGAATCCATCGCAATCAGAGCCACTGTACGATCATTACCTAGTTATGCGTCTCATCACAACCCCCTTCGGAAGTTTTGATAAAACCGTGTTACATACTAATCACATTCATTGTGCAGGGTGGGGGCAGGTGTAGGATTAAGGTGGGACACGGTTGTCTGGACGCGGCTCAGGTCACGATGCCTCTTTGACGGCACACGGTGTCCTGCAGTTCCAGGCCCCTGGTGTTGTCACGTAAGTTGCTGGTCTCTCATTCCTTTGGCGCCTTGGCGACGCTTAATTGATACTGCTTCTCTTCATCAGTAAAAACGACAATCTCTCGGTCCTAACAACTCTTGAACGGCGCCTCCCGCCAACTTGCGTTCTGCGTCCTGCGGCGGTCCGGCGTCGGTTCTCCTTCGGATCTGGCAGAGAGCATCCCTGGCTGCCCACGATCCTGTATCAGAGCTTTGTGGGCTTATGGACGCTTTGTGCACCTGGTGTCGGTGACACAATCCGACCTCTTGAACGAGTTCCTGAAGGTTTCGCGCGCGACCGGGTGGCGGTGCGTAGACGTCTCGGCACTTGCAGGACTTGGCAGGTTTTTCTGATCAGTGCGTAAGCACACGCAGACGGCCACGATCGATGGGCGCCCTGCTAGTCTCGCAAGTGTGGACCAGAACCTCGAGGGAAAAGCCAGGCGTCTTCAGCGGAGGCCGCTGGCCGCTGCGATGCTCTCAAGATAGTACGCTCTGAGGACCCTGAGCAGGCTAGCGCTGCCAATCGGGCGACTCGAAGTTCCTGCAGCTCGGTGAGTTTCCCCCGTGCACATCCAATCTGCAGAACGGTCTCTCGGATGTCAGAGGCGTGCTGCCAGGATACGCATACAGGACCCGGTGGGCACCTCCGAGCCTCGTCATGGCTGCCTTCAGACCGCTGAGCACCAGCGTGAAGACTTTGACGCGGCAGTGCCCAGCGCTCTGGGAAGTGCCTCGTGGCTAGCAGCCACACTGCCGTTGTATCCCTGGGCGAACGAAGCTTTGACGTTGTGATAGGCACGTGCAGTATCGTTCGCACCTCGTGGGCCTCGTGGTGGATGGCATTGGCCAACGGGACGCTGTCCGCGAACTTCCATGAGTCGCGCCTGGCAGCGGTGTGTGGTTTATCACCGTCCAAGACAGTTTCCGTCTTCGTGTTATCGCCGCCATCCGGATCGAACGTATCCACCTCGCGTTTGATGCGGTGAGCAGGGACGGACATTTTGCACTCGTCGTATTCGTTTACGGACCCACTTACGGAAGATAGGCAGCTGCGCAGGGCGCCTCGCAAGCAGGGGTCCGAGCGTCATCGGAGGCACGATATGAAAAGAACAACGCACGCTGCACACCCCGTACAACACGAGCAGGAAGAGAACCGCCACGACGCAAACAGCATGTCCGATAGGCACGTTTGAGAATAAGTATATGAAGTGCTGCTTGTGAAGGGCATCCGTAGCCATCGCGTCTCCCTTTACAGCCATCATGCCATACGTCCCATACACAAACATCCTCGACGTCGACATTCAGGACATCCCCCAAACCGCCCTTCGGGACGTCGTTCTCACAACCGCTCTCTCGAAGCCGAGCTCCGGATTCACGCTCAACCCGCTGGGCGTCGCCGGGCTTTTCGGCGGGGACAGCGCCGTTCACGGGATGGCGACGGCGAACCTCATCCGGAACCGCCGCTGGTTCGGGTGGTACGACACCCCAGGCAGCTACGAGATCGCGAAGAAATTCGGCCCGCTCGGCCGCTGGAAGCTCTGCGACGGCTTCTTCCCCGGGGGCGAGCGCCACCCCGCTCGGCTCTTCGGGCTCGAGGGGAAGGAGGGGGCGCAGTTCCTCGCGGTGCACTCTGGCTCGAACTTTGCGCGGACAGGACATCTCGCGTACCTCCATCAGGAAGAAGGCGCGTGAGCCGGAGAACCCCCCAATCCTCTCGTGACTGGGAGGCGCACCACGCCCACGACCGTGACGATCGTCGATCTTCCGCACGTGCCCGACGAGTCCGTGCGGCCGAGCCTCAGCACACCCGTGAGGGTCTCAGCGTTCTACGCACTGGTGCCGATCCTCGTGAGCTGGGCCGGATCCGTGCTCTGCGCGCTCGTGGCGGATTGGTTCTGCGTCGCGAGCATCGCGTTGGGCATCCTCGCGAACGGACTCGCGTGCTTCTCATCGGCTCCGGGAACCTGACGTTCGCGCACCACATGCCCGCGGGCAAGGCGACGGCGTGCTGATGGGCGACTCTGACGTCGTCGTGTTGATCGGCGAGGAGGGCGCCGTCAATACCTTCACGCGGGGCCACTTCCAACTCGAGTACCGTAACAAACGCATCGAACAGTCCAAGTGGGTGTAGACGTGCTCTGTGTACGCTGAGGGGCAGTCATTGAATGTCGGATTTAATCAGAGCCAAAAGCAACGCCGGAACCAGCCGCTCGACCCCCAACGATGTCCCTGGACCAGCTGCAGCGGCAGGTCCCCCCACTCAAACCAGTTCCCCTTCTCAACCTCTACACCAAGTCGGAAACGGACTGGAGTCGCGTTCCGATCATCCCTCCCAGGCCACCCTCCGCACTGATACTCAAAACGAGTCCCAGACCCTAACCAAGGCCCAGCAGTCGAGAACCCAGCCACACCTGTGGATTCCTCCGCAAGAGTCCATTCGCGCGTGTTCCCTCCTGCTCATGGTGCAGTGCCTCTCCCAGCTGCTTTTCATTCCCCAGGGTACGCTGTTCGGGCAGCTCATGTTCGTCGCCACGCTCGGGACGTCTTGGTTGCACACAGCATGCTCTCGTCCATCCACCGCGAAGAGATACAGACCGACATCCTCTTCGACATCCTCGGGATCGGAGCTGGCGATGTCCGGAAGTACGCGTTCAACAATTGGATGGAGAGCGTCGTGTTCACGAGCCTCGTGCTTGCGTCGGCCAACTACGTCAAGGCTCCCCGCGCACTCCTGAATGGGATGTTGCCTAACGATACGCTGGTGTGGAACATGTGGAAGAACGCGATTGAGAGGAAGCTCACTGAGAATACAGAACTCGGCGTGAATGCCAACACCAACTTTGAGGCCACCGAAGAGGACAGGAAAGGTCTACCAGACATGAACGACTCGGATATAGAACTACGAAAGACATTCGTGAAGGATGCCGAAGTCGCTTGGAAGACATGGACAATGGTCGGCGACGATAACTGTTTTGGACAATGATTATTGTCCAGGGTCTATGACAGCGTAACTCGTGCCACCCCCTCGCCGCGTTACATCTGCTTTGTCTCTAGTAGTATATAGGTTAAGGGCTCGCAGCCCAGGATCCTCGTCCCCTCGCCCTTCGGGAGCTCGCGCTCCTCGAGCTTTCGTTTTTGCACCCGCCCTTCCGCTGCCCCATTTTTGGTTTCGCTTGGATACGTCTCATGTATCAGGTACATTCGCCTTCCGCCGGCTTGAGCTCGGCCCACCGGTCGCGCGAGAGAGCGGTGGCGACACGGACTCGGTGGTCCCGCGCAGCTTCCGTAGCGCGCGCCCAATACCATCGTTTTCCGTCCTGCCGAGTATAGCGTGCATAGAAACAACATGAGGCGGCGCACAGACGATCAAGCGGGTGAAGGGGGTATCCTGATCTCCCCAGCTGTATCTGTGTAATCTTGACCGAGTTACATGACATAGGCATCTTGTCACTTGCGTATAGATGAGGGGAAGGCGGCATGGTGGTGTGAGCAGGCGCAGGGTAACAGTTCTCCGCCGGGATTGGGCTCGGCTGCTTGCTATGCCTGAAGTTCAAGGCTATAAGGCTACTTACTTCTGAGTCAAGGCAGAATATTTCAGAGTCACTGTCGTGGCCCCGGCGCTCCGCTTTTCTCCCCTATGTTCCGCTTGCGGTCAACCCAGAGCGCTGCAGTGGTTTGACATTTTGCAGCCTTATAGTGCCAGGTGAAAGCAGTGCCGTAACCAGATCAGCACGCGTTCGGAATCGCTAGGGTTCGCGCTCCTTCGTGATTGAGTCCGTCCCATGAATGTCAAACCATGGCAGGACTTCAAATTCCGAGTCATAACAAATTGTGCCCGAGCTAGCTTCGGTGCCAATTGGTCGGATATGTTCTGTCAGCCTGTTATGTACTGCCAAGCACATGTATCGCTGAAGGTTTCATATATCGTTCAGGCGAAGTCGTCCTAACACCTATGGGTCTTGGCAACATGGCAACGAGGACTTCCATCTATTCTCGAATTGGTAAGCCTGTCAGACTCTAGCCGGAATTCATCCATACTCATGAGAAGCACAGTGAGCCAACTGTAGCGGTGACGCGGAATAGTTGCTACCGGGGTTTGAGGAGTTGAAAGCCTTACTATCGCGACCCCAGTGTTCGGACAGACCCCAGTGTTCGGACAAACGACCGTATCTCCGTCATTGTACACCCGATAAACTTGCAAGTTGGAAGGTAGGTGCTCATATGTGTTCCAAATCAGCAGCAAAAAGAACTGAATTTATATCATAAGCCCGTGGGGCGATCTTGAGGAAGGGAGTGGTGCAACCCATCCCTATCAAAGCTTCGGGAGTCTCGCTTCGTATCCCTCTTCGGGCGCTTCCATCCAAATCTCGTGTACGTATTTCAACCTACGCATATTGCTCAATACCCAATTTTCCGAGGCCTGCTCAGGGGAACACAGAGGAGAAACAAGAAGCAGCCCTCGAGGGCGTGACAATGCAGCCACAGTTTGACTCTCCGACTTGCTCGGGATGCTCGGCTAAGGCTCATAAAGCTGGAGAACGGAGATTCCCCGAAGACCGGCAGGTGTCGGCAAGGGTGACAGATCGTGACCTGCTGTGCGGAGAATTGTCCGAACACTGGGGTCAGGCCCTGTATATCCTGTCTCCATCGCTCGTGTCTCCTTCAATATTTCTCATGTTTGGCAAATAGCCTATGCATATGCATCTCCTTTTGCATGCCAAAAATGAGCATTATCGGAGTACAGGAAAGTACATGAAACGAAGGGATTTCGCAGCGGGCGCCTTTTTGTCCGAACACTGGGGTCGCGATAGTAGTACTGGTACACCCCAGACCTCAAGACCTCCGAGTCAGCAGCGCATGGTGTCAGGTCCGACAAGGTATAGTGGTTTGAGGCCCAACGGATCAAGTCTGTCATGCAAGATTGACAGATGATGGGACTCGAAGGCGAAATGAACAGTACGCGAAGACAGCTGCACCGCCCCGCCACCTCGCAAACCCACGTATGTGTCGATGACTTCGTAAGTATATAGCATGTACCCGCAAGAAATCGATTTCGTTGAGAATTCGGGTTTCTCCTCGCCCTCGTCCGCCGATGACCTTGGAGGGATACGCCGATGCTGTCCTCGACATACTCTCGCTTTCACGCATGCCTCCTCGGGACTATTGCTCTCCTCCCTCAGACCGAGGCAGCAGTATTCGCCCGCGGAAAATTGAGCGCATCTTTATGGGTGCCCCAGGGGACGCTCGTGAACGACACGCGAGTCTTCGGGGTGCACGACACGTCTGACGGCTGCCCCGTCGGCTGGGTTCCGTGCTCCGCGTCAACCTGCTACCCTCTCGACGGTTCCACATGCTGCTCCAGTATGTCCTCCAGGCTCACTGATGCTCCGAATGCTCGCTGACCAGTGCGCCCAAGATGGTAACTTCTGCGAGTTTGGGTCCTACTGCGACGGCGGAGGATGCTGCCTTGACGGCGAGATCTGCGGCGGCAGCGCCCCACCGCCGTCGACGATCAACGTACCCACCGCCACCACGCCCCGCACGACCGCTACGACGCCCCGCACGACCACGACCGCTACAATCGCCACCACATTCAAAGCGCCCACGACGAGCGTGTCAGTGGGTTTCTCCACGTCCGACCAGATCACAGAGCTTGGCTCTGTGTCGCTGCCAACGGTCGCAAAGCCAACTGAACAGACGACGGTCAGCACGAGGCCTGCAACGGTTCCTGTAGCGGACAGCGCGACCGTTCTCAATCCTAGTGCGTCGGCGAGTGTCAGCCTCGGAAATGACGCCACTGCAGTTTCTATGAGCTCAGGAGCGAGCGTCTGGCTCGCTGGTCTTGTCGTGATCGCAGTGTTCCTTAGTATGTCGTACCTTGCATCCCATACACCCTCTGGCCTGCTAACGAACGCTCTCGTCAGCTTAATCTGTCGGAGAGTGCAAAGATTGTTAAGTAGTACCCCGTGGTCGATCTGCATATGCTCACCCCTGCGAATGTCCGTGGGACGCTGTACTTTGCCTATGATTCTGAATCTTTACGACTTCTTCTGGGCATGAAAGGATGCTTTAATTCCACATGACGTGGCCTCGTGCACAGTGTATGAGTACGCATGGAATGTGATGGTGACATATGGGCCTTATCTAGATACAGTCCGAGCGTGCATCGTCTGGTCCAAGATCTTATCACGGGAATATATAGCCATACTGTTGAGAGACTCACAATGATATGTGAACGCATCTCAGTCTCTAGTAACGCGTCAAGCTAGTTCGTCCCGCTCTGAGAGGCGTCGGCGGCAAGCGCGAGCATGTGCACCCCATCCTGGCGCAAGAGCAATGGGTCGATGATAGGGACGTACGGCACCGCACTCGGAGGGCCCGACGGGTACGCATAGCCAAGACCGGAGGCGAACTGTGCGTGCTGAAATCCTGGATGAAAGTTCCCCGAGAGTGCTTGCAGCGGCTGTCGAACGCGCGCATGTCCACGACCAGCAGCCGTCAGCTCGCCAGACAACACCTGAGACAAGGACGGAAGAGTGACCTTCTGGTGAGGGTTGGCTTGGGCTCCTCCGACATCAGCGTCTGTGACTCGGATGCTGGGCAACTCGAGTGAGTCGAACTGAGGCGGGAGGGATGCTGCGTACATTCCATTGGGGAGGTAGAAGTAGCCAGAGCCAGGAGCGAGACCAGACTGAGGAGGAAGGCGCCATTGGGAGGAGAAATCTGCGACGGACGCGCCCGCGCCCATGAAGGTGTCAAGTCCAGCGCCAGAAGAAGATTGAGCAAGGGACCAGCCAGGCGAGGCGGCAAAGGTAGTTAGAGGGCCACCCATGAGATCGTTCATAGGGAGCGAGACGTATTGGAGCGTAGGATTCGTCAATGTTGTGTCTTCCGATAGCAGAGTGTCAGTCGGCGTCGCATTAGTTTGCTGTGGCGGCGCGGCGTCCTCCACTCGGTCATCTATCTGCCTTGTCCTCTTGCAGACGCAAGTCGGACAGTTCTTCACGAAGAGCGCGATGAGATCCTTTGGGACCCAAGTGTACGTCTTGCGTATCTCGTTGGCCGTCTTATCCCGCCCGCCGTGTCCGACGCGCTCATGGCAGGCGCACATGATATCATAGATCTGCTCGCGGATCGCTACGCGCTTCCCGTCGTGCAGAACCACCGGCAGGGGTCTATTGAGGTTCAGAGCTCGCGGCGTACCGCTGGTTTCCCAAGTAGCATTCCCCCGCGCTTCCCCTTCGGGCTTGTATTGCACGAAGGCCATCACCTCGTTGCCGGCAGTATCATCGTCAGGATCGATGACGTACGGCGTCAGCCCCCCGAAGTCGTCCGGGAGCGCGAGCCTGAACATCTTGCGGACCCACCAGCGGAACTGTGGCGAGCCGATCTTGTTGTCGCGCGGTTTGTGAAGCGCCAGCCAAATGTCGTCGAACATCTCCTGCGAGATGAGTGCCTTCGCCTGCTTGCGCCCGTCGAGTGAGCCGATGTACTGCTCCTGCATCGTTGAGAACTCCTCGCGGGTGGGCATCCCGAGGTCCGGATAGGATCGGTCTGACTTCGCGGAGGACGAGGATGAGGATATCTTCGATATCCGCGGAGGAACGGGCAAGGTCGCGAATTTGAGAGCCATGCCTCCGCCAGAGGGCGCATCGGGTGTCGAAGCAAAGACGCCTTTCTTGTTGAGGTTGTCGGAGTCGCGAAGGGGACGAGAGGCGGGATAGGGTCGTTTGCCCTTGGCGACCTTGTTCTTGCCCTTGTTCGGCTCCGTCGTGTCCGCTTGGTTGGACACAGCAGCCTTGCCTCGAGGCTTCGTTCCAGAGGGGCGAGCTGAACGGGGAGGCATTATACGATCGTTTGCTATAAACAGCCTCTTGATAGGTTGTGCGACTGGACGGAAGACAGATCTGTTCGAAACAATACGGAGCTCTGAGTGACGCAACGTACTGAAGGTCTAGACTGGACCTGAACTCTCCACAGATCAGCAGGGAAGTCCACTGGGTACTCACGACGAACATACCCAAAAACTCCAATAGTATGCGCCGAGTAGGTAACCTGTACGATACTGCTGAGATAGTATGTGAGTGTAGGAGAACAACCGGGAACGGGGATGGAAAGCGAGAGGCGAGTACGAAAACAAACCAGTCCTTTGTGACAAACGAAAGGGGTTGACATCACACGATCGGAGGCTGGCAAGAGCGAAGAAACGGGAACCGAAAGCAAGTCGATCCCAAGTCTAGCTAGTAGCAACAACATGATAAATTACGCTATTCCAGTGATGTCGAGTCCATGGATATGCAGTACAGTGCGGGATGAGGTTGTCAGACGAGAATTGATGAGGTTCAAGGAACGTAAACAGGAAGCGTGTCCGCAACGCTGAGCAACGAGGGTGAATACCGGGTCCCGGGCACGACGAGACGCTCTGTCGGTGCGAGCACGACGACGTGCTGTCGCTTGGGCGGGCTGCGCGAATGCGGCTGGTTCGTCGAAAACGAGCTCGACATCTCCGAATCGTCCAGCACGGCATGGACACGCGGGGTCCTGGGGTCGTCAAACTCGTCAAAGCCCTCAGGACGAATAAGGCCTCGGCCGTCCCAGATGCAGCGTATATCCTGCCCCGTGATTATCTGCGCGAGGCGGCCTGACTCGACGTGTCTAATCTCAATGAAGGTAGGTCCGAAGAGGAGAATATATGGCGGGTGCCAGGCTGCATGGGAGGCGATCCCTTCCCATTCGATGACTGGCGGCGAGCGAGAGGGCGCGCCACGCTTGTCGACGTACATACCGTACTCTGCGAGATGCTGTCATCAACGAAGTCAAACTCGTCGTGCAATGCGGTGTAAGCACTTACCATCGTAACATAGGAAGAACTCGTCTTCTCGTAGTCGGAACATTGCTAAGGGCTTACACGTCGTCGCCCGCTTCCCAAGCCTGCGCAAATCTTCTTCTTGTGGTATGGTGACGCTTTGGAATCTGTCGCAAACGTTAACAATTGGGGACATCGGTGCAGGGGAATGCGATGTCACGCACTCCATGAGGTCCATAATTTCGAATCCTTTCGACATCAGAACGCAAATCTTCGTCTTCAAAAAGAGTAGATCTGTTGAATCGGAAGGCAGGAAAAACTCCTGTGCGTTCAATCGATCAGGATCACAGGCATAAGGGCGCAGTTCCGACGTCCCCTCACCCTAGCAGTTCTGAACCCTGTAGCCAGCGAAGCATTTCCCGACACGCGATCCGCAACCTCCAGCACGCAGAATACACTATCTAGCTGTAAAAATATCGCTCGTCAGTCCGCGGATGTGGAGAAATGCTGTGAAGTCGCCCTCACTCCTCGCCGCTGCTTATACACCACAAGAATACGGCCTGCTTGTCGTCCGACGCTGAAGAAATCAACGTGTTTGCCCTGCCTACTCAGCCTCTGCAAACCTAGTACAGGCTGATGGGCGTGCTGCCGAGGCACAGGCGTTGGGACAATGCTCTCGATATCGATAGAATGCAGCACCTGCACAGAATGACAACAATCAGCCTCGGAGTCCAGCAGGTCAGTAAGTATATGTGGATGGCTGGTACCTTGTCTGCCAACACAAGAAGCGAGCCTTGCTCTTCAAGAAACGCAAGCTGCGTTACATGCTTGACAGACACGACGCGTTGCAAGGCTTCAGGTGATAGTTACTAGGACTCTCCGATAGTCAGAAGCAAGGGGTTACGTACTGTCCGGCTGATGAAGCATCCCTATCCATATCCCATCCTCACTTCCAACGGCAACCAGACTGTGGCCGTCCTTGGCTAACAATGGTCGAAGACAAGCACAAATGAGCAATGTTAGATAGCTGTAGGCGGAGAACCCAGACACGTACCAAATGGCAATGAGCACGATATCCTTCCCGTGATCAGCCCAGGATGGTGTGCAGATGGCAAGCAGGTGTCGTCTGTGATAGTTTCTACCTGGAAGACGCTTCCCTCCGCTTGAGCAGCCCTTCGCGCCCCTATCGCCTCCTTCATCCGTCTCCGCCATTCGTTGCGTTCGTCTGGAGTCGCAGCGTAGAGCGTGTACGTCCCGCCATGCTTTCCGTAACAGTGGAACGATAGTGGATGGTAGCTCTTGTCGTGACTGCCTTCCGCAAGCGAGTCTACGAGAACGGACGAAAGGTCTGGCGAGTCACGGCCAGGTCGCATCATGCGAGTGAAGGTATTGCTTCGTTGCACAGGACGGATGCTCAGGCTGGAGAGGACGAGGAACTCCACGCGCACCGGCTTCGAGCACGCGTCAGCTGGGACGGGGCAAAACCTGCTTGCGAGGGATCGGTGCTCACTGGTTTCCAAACGACGTATTTGAGATCATCTCCCTTGCCCTTCGGCTTGGTCATGACCACTGCCATGAACGTCCAATCGGGAAACGTACGGAAGGATGAACGAGAACTGACGACGCACAGTAGTTATCGAACAGTATCACCCATAACTCCTTCCATCCATTCACACTCCGTTTCAATGGGTCATTCTGGCGATAAAGCGGTCCAGCATGAACGACCGCGCGCGTCGGATTGGAGAAGTCGAGATCCTGATACGCAAGAGGAAGGTTGTGGTGGCCGTCGAGGGTAGAGTTTTGCGCGCGGGGAGAGCGGATTCAGTCGTGCCAACCTTCGAGTGGACCCCAATTTGACACTTACCACGACTTGATGGGCTCCGAACGCTATCCTCTCGCTATACCACTGCACCCTGGCATGGCGATCGTTCGGTACGGCTGGGACCATGGGACACAAAGAAGGAGAAACCTTCTGTCATTTCCCACATCCACACATGTGCACACGACTCGATCGACCTCACCTCCATGCCCGTTACTAGGATGATGCTCCGTCATCGTACAGGGTATCAAGGCCCGTATGGACGCTCGGAAATGGTTGCAGAGACCGTAGTCGTCGTTAGGTCGGCACGGTCAGTGAGCTCTTCTCTTCGCGAAGGACGGAGCTCAAGAAGACATAGTAAAGGACAACAATGATGTACGCGCATACAACGGGGATTGTATCCAGCGTCGTACCTCTGCCACTGCCGTTACTGGGCACACTGACACTGTTTCGAATGACGGGCCGCTGGACGACACCGCCATCCCCATCTTAACGAGAACGTCCATTTGTAGCCAAGGTACGTTGTCGTCATCCATCACGAGGGCGCGCCTTAGGGCTCATGCCCGGCAATATGTGTAAGTGAGCACTCTCCTGTACCTCAACCTCGTGAACTGGGCGGATACACCATGAAGGACATGCTGATCACTGTGAGTTCCTTCGTATAGGCTACTTACGCTACCAACCCTACAGGAGGCCCCGGGTCTTCAGTATGCACATCCACCATTGAATATGGGAGTTACTTTCTGACAATGCAGCTTCAACAGTCTGTGTCACCACGACGAAGTTGGTACCCCCCACCGAATACCTCTATGCGTGGTTGTGGCTGCCTCCCTAGGCCTTGATCCTGCGGGCGACAATATCCCCGGATTGGTCTGGTGAACCAGCTCCGCGACTTCAGGACACTTCGACGAGCTCACAGGTGCGGCTGTCACTATATTCACTTCGTCGCGCGCGACGCCTACGGACAAGTTCGTGTATGGGACTTCAACACAGGAGAACCACTGACCCTCAAACCCGATACCCAGGTCTAACGCTCCGTATCACCTTCTCCTTCTGACCCTAGGTCCATATTGGTCCGCGATGATCATAATGGAAGTGTCGGCTTCTGGAAGCCAGAAGGCGCCAGATCGACAACAGCCGGAAGTGGTGGTGTTAACTACATTGCTACAGAGTTCCGATCGCGAGGCGAGTGTCAATGAGTACGAGCACCTGCGCGCTGGTGTTGGGTAAGAACGATGAAGGCAGGTTTGTGTTCTACCTCACCTTCTAACAGGGTGTGCGAATGTTCGCGTCTGGTGATCTGCTTGGAATATGGGCACCTATCGGATCGCCGCATCGATTCAGAGGGCTCGTACTTCATCGCATCAGGCTTAATTCCATCTGACTTTCTCGTACAGTGTATGCATGATACAAAGTCGGATTATGGGCTCTTCGAGCCCTGAGTGAATTTCGACTTCCCGCGGATCTTGCCCGGACCCCTTACATAGGATTGACCATGCTCAACGAGTAGCAGAACGCAATCCAGCATGGCCCGAACGAGGCGGGCTACCACATGCTAGGAGGGAGGTCGACATGCAGACGTACATGAGGTATGCCCCTTGTCATTATATACCAGGGGCAACAGTCGTCCTCACATCCCCATCGCCGTCGACTCTCCCTCTGAGGTACGTCCTTCACTCGTTGAGGCTCGGAACGGCAGCCATCCAAACACCCTTGCCACAGATTACCTCAGTCAAACCAGCGTCAAAACTGCCCGTCATCTCTTCCTTGGCTTACCTGGGCAAACGCGTGCGCTCTGTCATCCCGGATCCCATCCCCCAGGGCGCCTCATCGAAGTCCGGCTTCACTCTCGACTCCTCTGGCGTTGCAGGCTTCTTCGGAGGAGACAGCGCTGTCTTGGCAATGGCGTCTGTGAACCTCATCCCAAACCGTCGCTGGGTTGGCTGGTACAACACCCCCGGCAGCTACGAGATAGCCAAGCAATTCGGGCAGCTCGCAGACTCCCCTTTTTGGGACGCCCTAGTCCCGGGAGGGAAGCACGAGCCCGCAATCCTATTCGAACTCGACGGGAAAGTCGGCCCCGAGTTCATAGCTTCGTACTCTGGGACCACTTTTGCGCAGACAGGACACCTCGCCTACCTACTCACACGAAAGGCGAAAAGCATGACCGGGATCGCTGATACGCAGACGGATAGGGTCGGCACTCCTACCAGTCTCGTCATCATCGACTTGCCCCAGGTGCCCCCGGCATCTGATCACCCAGCTCTTCCTTCCTCCTGGTTGCCGAAGCGGTCCGCCCTTCTCGCCCTCGTGCCTATTACTGGGAGCGTCGTTGCCTGCGTATTTTGCGCCCTGGTCGCAGACTGGTACTGCTGCGCGAACATTGCGCTAGGCATCATCGCTAACGGATGTGCGTGCTTCTTCGTCGGTTCTGGAAAGCTGACGTACGTACGTCCGGACAAACCCGCATATACTCCTCGGGGTGGTGGCATCCTGAGGCAAGACTGGGGAGTTGTTCTGCTTCTGGGAACGCCCACACAGGTGATCTCAGTCACCAGAGGCCGCTTTGTCTTGCAATACGGCACGAACACAAAACGACCGGAGACCACTCCAGATGAGTCGTCCAATCCACCCTCGAGCCCATCAGCTCTCGGAGACGTGTGGGCGCGTCTCGCGAGCTGCGGTTTACGGGGACACTGGCAGCCTTTGGACGGTTCTACGGGCTTCAATTCGTGCATGCAGATCTGGAAGCTCTTGACTAGCCCGAGCCAGCGCACCATAGGATATTGCGCTCTACTCCTCACAGTACAATTCTTTGTCCAGCTTCTCCTGATCCCCCAAGGCACGCTCTCCGGACAAATCATGTTCATCTCCACCCTCGCCCTGTCCTGGGGCTACAACTCGTATCTCTCATCGGTGGATCGAGAGGACATACAGACGGACATTCTCATCGAGAGTGTCCTCAGGCTGCACTTGAAGGAGCGCGCCAGGAAGTACGACTTCAAGTCGCGAACGGGAATGGTGATTTTCGCGTGCCTCGCCATGCCGTATGAAACCAATGAGCCTCCCCCGGACCGCATGAAGATCCTGAACGCGTTGCTCCCAAATGACACGAGGGTGTGGAAGCATTGGAAAACGGTCGTGGAGGCGAAGTTGACAGCGGCTACGAGTGATTCCGGGCCTTGGAAATTTGTGCCCGAGGACAAGGCATTGGATGATGCGAGCGCTGATGAAGAGAAGCTTCTGACAGCGCTGCTGAATGACGCAGAGCTAGCATCCGAGAGGTTTCACAAAGACAAGGATGTTAATAAGAACTTTGGATTGTAGCCACCGGACTGCTTGGTTGAAATTTCTGCTATACCGTCGCCCTGCATATACGACCGATCTGTTATTTATTTATTATACTCGTGCGAGCTCTTGAAACATGTACAGTCTACATTGATGTGCTTCCATTCCTATTCGACTACTCAAGTCCACACTCATTGTTATCCTTGCCGCCTTCAACAAGTCCGAATGAGAACGGTTCAGCACGAGATCTGTTCCCTATCCTCCTGCAATTCCACCTCTCCCCGTCCAAGTCACCACAGTCGATTTTGGGATCACAACCACTCGCCCCACACATTAGACTTTGCAGACACGAACTTGCATCCTGCAGCGTCGACCGTGATCCGTTCGTCTGATATCCTCGTGACATAGGGGCTTTCCTGAGGCAACCCGTGGGAGGCAAGGAGAGGTCAGAGCGCCTTGGGTAGCCCGATTCTTATCCGAGCGTGCTATCCGAGCTAGCCTCACAAGACCTTCGGAAGGTGCGTACGTCTGGGTACAATTTTCTAGGGTGAACAGTTCCCAACTCGAATATAGATGGTAGATACTATGATATCGTACATTGAACTATGATTCCGTACGTCCAATCGGGAACGAAAGGAACGATCTTCATCGCACACCGTGGTTCGGATTCGAAGCGAGCCACCCCTTCAGCTCCCTCACCAGCTTCTTCGCTGATACCTCCAGCGTCTCGTCCCTCGCCCGCGGCACCTCCACAATCTTCCGCTTCCTCTCCTTCGTCGTCAGCACGAGCCCCACCGCCCTCGGCGAGAATGACGCCGTGAGCGCCGCAAACGGAATCGGGGCAACGGTTCCCGAGCTGCTCGACCCCCTGATCTTCCCCGCGTCCTTCCCAAACGACTTCTTCGTCGGGCTCGAGATGGGCGTGGTCGCGACGGGGGTAAGCCCGGAGGAGAGAGGGACGGCGATGACGCCGTCGCGCGCGCCGTAGTGGTGGACAAGGTCCTCGAGGCGCGCGCGGGGCTGGAGGAGGTCGAAGAGGTCCTTGAAGCTCTCCTCGCGCTCGAGGTGGAGCTCGCTGTCGTCCGTCCAGACGTCCTCGCGCACTTTGAGCGCGATGAACAGGTCGAGGACGCGCATCTCGCGCTGGGAGGTGTCCGCTGGGGAGGACGATGTGGCTGAGGCGGAGGTGGAAGCCAACGAGGAGGTCCCGGAAGCGGCGTGTGGGAAGGGGTCCGATGTGTAGGGCGAGCGGATGAGGGAGGTGTATAGGGGGAGGTAGGTCGAGCGGAGGACGTGCATGCATGCTGCAGGGATATAGGTCAGGATTAGGTTTCTGCGAAGATGAGCTGTGGAACGTGAATGCCGGGAAGAACCGATTTCAAAGTATGATGTAGACTGTGTCCAAATGACGTACTGGCGGAGTACGTGCTAAGCAAAGAGGCCAGTCCTCAGAAAGCTGGAAAAAGCATACGCTCGCGAGTAGCAAGGCGATATGGACTTGGTCGTTGCGACTCTTCTGGAGGAGCCTTCCAAGAAGGTATACCATGTTTTTATGATGCGGGGCGGGCGGAACGTATAACGGGCCAGACGTGCACGATTCAATGGCCCAGCTTCGGATGAATCCATGCACTCACCGATGTACATCGCACGATTGACCAGCCGGAGGCTCAACGTCAACCAGTACAGGACCTTTCTCTGCTTCTCTACCCGTCCCTGCGAGAACGTCTCGTAGACGACGCGTAGCAGTATGTGAGGCGGCAAGGTGACCAGCGTGAGCGGTGGCCGGTGCTGTGTCGGGAACGGAGGTGGGCTGACAGGACCAGCTTCGACGTACGGAGGGGGTGGGGGTAGCATCAGCGCTTTTTCGTCGAGGATAACCATGGTGCTGCGAGTCCGAGCGAGAGGTTTATAGGGCGGACGCGGGGGATCCTGCGGGAATTGTCCCGGATGGCAGCAGATATCGGATTCTGGCGCTGCGCAGCGACGTCGTCTCGGGAGCGCAGTAGAGGTAATCAATGCGGGAGGAGAGGCGACTGGCTGCGATACAGCGGTAGGTGAGACAAACGATGTACTGCGTCGACGTCGAGTCCAGGGACGAGGCTGAGACCATGAGAGGATTGGTGCTCCTTGGGAGGCAGTACCCACCTCAGTCGGGCCGCCGGGAACGCCTGCCACAAGGTCCGAGAGAACGGGAAGTCATGCGCGTCATTCAGTGGGGGGTGCGAAACATGCCTAGATGTTTCTCGACGTCGGCGACGATGTTGAGGTCGTGGGCGACGCAGACAACGACGCTCTCGACGCTGCAGAGCGCGTCCTTCGGTGGAACGGCGAGGCTGAAACAGGAAGCCTTGTGCCGAAACGGCGACCGAAAAATTGCTGCTGTGATGCACGTCACTTTAGGCGGAGTTGAAAAATGGGACTCTGGAAGCGCTGAGGTCCCCCGATTCTGGCAGATCATAGTCTCGTGACCAGACGTTCGGAGTGTGAAGCGGATACGAAAAATCGGAGGTATCCGGACACTCGAACGTCTGGTGGCATCACCCCCGTTACTCCCCCATCGGTGACATGCGTCACATCCCGACGCCCAGTCGGGGCAGTCCGAAAAAGTCGGAGTGCGCCCTTGGTGCCCGATGTGGCAGCCCGCTGTCAATGTTCACCCTGTGCTACACCTCCTGTATTAGCCACAATGCCCCCATAATCCATCATACCTGGCTGCTCTTAAATACACTACATGGCTATCTCAACTCCTCAGTTCCTCTCCCATCATGAAGAAGACCACGCCCACTCGTATGCAATCCTGCAAGCCGCGCGACAAGCCGCAAAAGCCTCACGGCGGTACGACTCGCATGCGACCCGCCAGGCGCTCGAAAACACCTTTCGCGACAGAATGGGAGGGAAGGCGCCACATGAGTGGCAGGTGGATGTTGCTGAGGCCCTGATGGTGGGGTTGGATTGCACTGTAATAGCGGGAACAGGGAGTGGCAAGACCATGCCATTTGTGATGCCCGCCTTGGTGGAGGCGGAGAAAATGTATTTCATTATTTCTCCATTGAACGCGTTGGAAGCGGACCAAGTAAGCTTGCTGGTATGTTGACAGGCTAAAAATATGCTTACCGTGAGGCATAGCGTCCTGCAGTGCCTCTGCAACCTCCACAAACTGGAATCGGGTCAGCCCTTCTTCCGAAAGGCAGTCGGGAGGCGAGCGGAACATGCGGGAGGTAGTTTCAAGCTCACGATCAAGAACCTCCTCCACACAGCCTAGTGCGAACTCCTCGAGAGCCTTCCGAGCCCCTTGGGGCCGGACGTGGTGGCTGCGCGAAGCCGACGCCCGGGGAACCTTATACCAGCGCTCAAGGATGCGGGGAAGCTCTTCGCTGCCCATAAGGGCACTGCGCTCATAGCGGACCTTTGGGTCAGTGATGCAGGCGGTGTCACCCCAGCTGAGCGCGTCCAGGAAGAGGGGGAGGTTCATGTCGACTGAGTCCATATAGGCCAGGATGGACTTAACGCGGTCGACAACGGTGCGGCCGGAAACGGAAATCGAGCGCGATAAGCGCCCGCGCATCGATTGGGTGTTGTATAGGTATATGGGTGGGGCGGGATCCTCGAGTGCTGCTTCGACCGGGTCCCATTCAGAGACGTCGGAGAGCCGGTCGCTGTCGCAGTCGGATGGCGCATAGTCGGCGTCGTCGTCGTCGTCGTCGAAGAGGGCTCCCCAACCGCTGGGGTGCGCCTCGATGTCTTCTTCGGCGCCTCGGGGATCCATAAGCGCTGGCGGACAGGAAGCTTAGTGACGGTAGAAGGCAAGCAGGAGACGTCACAGCCTGTCACCGATGGGGGAGTCACGGGGGTGAAGCCACCAGACGTTAAGGTGCTCGGGAACCTCCGATTTTTCGTTCCCGCTTGGAGCTCCGAACGTCTGGTCACGAGACTAGGCAGATCAGTGATTCTGCACACCTTCGAGCAACCTTCGAGCACCTCCTCTCGTACAGCTTTCTTCCACCTGCCATCTCCTCCAACGCCCTTAGACAACAGTCGTGTCCACATCTACACCCCTTGCAGTCTCTAGTGTGAACTGAGTGGTCTGACCGTTCAAAGCACATCGAGGGAACCGTTCTCCGATCCGGTGTCCGAAGTCCCTCAAACCCAGGACCCCGGAACACCCCTTTAGCGGTTGGTTCTCAACCAACACGACCCCCCACTGACAACGACAACGCCCATCCCATTTCACCCTGCTATATGGGCCACACCAAGCGCAAGAATGTTCGCCAGGCCCCTCAGAGTGAGTGACTCTCGTATGGAGGGCATGGGAGATGGGCTGATACCCGCCAAGTGCGGTCTCGCACGACGAGGAGCAAGGGGAAGGTGAGCGGTCAGATCGCTATCGCATGGAAGCCACATGTTCATATTGAGAACCTGCTAGCCCATTACAACCAACCCGGAAGTCAATAGCCAGATGCTCAACGAGCAGCTGCGTCAGCTTGGCCTCTATGCTGCCCACACCATCGGCGACGGCAACTGCCTGTTCCGCGCTCTCTCCGATCAACTGTATGGCTCCCCTTCACAACACCTCAAGCTGAGGGCGGATATCTGTTACTGGATCGAAGCTCACAAGGAACGCTACGCTCCATTTGTGGAGGACGAGCGCGGCCTTGACCACCATCTGTCGTGTATGCGCCAGCAAGGTGGGTGTATGCATCTTTCCCATCCGCTCTGCATCCTCATTCCTGTCCCAGCAACCTATGGTGGTCACCTAGAATTGTCTGCCTTTGCTCATATGACGAAGAGGAACGTCAAGGTTATTCAACCTGGTCTCGTGTACGTCATTGAATGGAATGCCGGAGGAGACTTCGGAGACTCCTCGGTACAGGGCGACGATGATTTGAACCTCGACGATCGCGAAAAGCGACGTCAGAGACGAGAGCGGCGTCGTTCCGAACTGGAACAGGCTGCAACTGATGACGGGGACCCTTCGACGGCCATGGGGACGGTTTACGTCGCGTATGTATCTCCCTTCGGCTCCTTGTGGGCTCCTAGTTGACCGTGGTGCAGCTACCACGATTGGGAGCATTTCTCCTCCATCAGGAATCTCAGGGGCCCACACACCGGTCTGCCCAACGTCGTAGAATCCTCTGCTTCGGACGCATCGCCTCCGTCTCCAGTGAATAAGAAGCCGGTATCGAAGGCTAAGCCGAAATCTGCGAAGCCTCGGGTCAGGGAGACGAAGAAATCTGTTGTCGCGACACTCATCGAGGTGGAGGACGCGACTCCCCGCACTCCTTCTCAAATCCCCCTCCCAGGCTCGGCATCGCCGTCTCCACCACCGTCGTCCGCCCCTTCTTCTCAAACCTCCGCCTTCCCTACACTGGCATCGTTGGAGCCGCACGCCTATCGTTCTCCGAAGCGGACCTTCGACGAATCCTCTGCATCATCCCAGATGTCTGAAAGTTCCCAGAGCGCCGCCAAGAGGGCGAAGAGCGGTTCTCGAGCTACCTCCACATCACGTACACTGAGCGCCGGTGCTGCGGCAGCCGCGACTGCAACTAAGAGCATGAGCGTGGACGCAGATGATCTGGACACTCCCGATTTGTCTGCTGTCGGCTCATCTGCAGACTCAGTGAGCTCATTATCATCCGTACCATCTCCCGCGGCAACTCCCCCACCAGTCGAGCCTCCGGTGGAGAATCGCCTTACGCGCCGCCAGCGGAAGAAGCTGGGGCTTCCAAAGCCTCGCCCTGCTAATGTAGGCCGCACCGTCGCGCGTACGAGAAGCGCTGGGAAGATCGTGATCCCAGGTGGAAAGCTTTCTAAGACATCAAGCAAAACAGATGTCGCTGACGGCTCCGAGGACGATCCCAACGCGAACGCGGAGTGGCGGAAGAACGGGACCGGACGTCTGGACGTCCGAGGGTTCAGGGAGCTCAAGATATAGGAGCGCGTTGATGAGCTCTGTCGCGCGCGTCGCGCTTGCGCGACGGCCGCTCAGACCATTTGCATCCCTCCTCCACATCTCATTGTCATCTTTGGACTTCGCATCTTCTTTTGGTCTTGGTCTCTTGCATCCCATCCCGTCAATCCCTCGATACCCTCGCACTTCAAGCCCTTCGTGTCCATGTCGTCGCAACATCCATCGCTATCCGCTAGGATCTCCTTGTATCAACAGCATCTCCTCTTCCTCGCCTCTTCTATCCTCTATCGCGCTTCCACGATTGTCACGACCTCTAGGCACGTTTTTCATGCCCCGCATTGGACGCTCTCCCGATTGATCATCCGTCGTCGTTCCGCCCACCTACAAGTCAAGTTATTCCGTCATATAACGCAACCACACATCTCCAATACAGTCGCATCCGCATCATATCGTGATACCTGAGGCTGACGGCCTCGCCGCAATCACAAGCTCTCCTCCTTTCCCTCCACGTCGTACTCCTGTGTTCGTGCAATGACTCGGTTTGGTTCCAAGGCAACATTGAACAGTGCATCCTCCTGGCGTAGTATACGTAGTGCTCTGTCCCACTCAATTATACGCATTTGTTCCTCGCGTTGTAGCTTTGTACATGTATCGTCTCTCTCGGCCTCAAGTTATATATTCTGTAGATATATTCTACCCTTTGTGCTCGCATCCTTCCTTCCTTCACGATGTTGAGTCAAGTATCGAGATCTCACGATCGGCCGGTCCGGTGAGTGGCATCGATTGGAGACTAACTTCGAGGACAACTCCTGCGGAGTCATGCGCGGGATCAGAGGATGTGCGGACTCCCTCTGATCCTGCGCATCTGGAGTCTGCCTCACTGTAGCTTATTCCAGGACCACCATCACCCAGTCACAAGCTACTACGCGAATTCTACCGAAGCGAAGATGGATCTTGGTCTGCAGAACGTTCATGTTTTGCTTACTGGTGCGTTCTCTCATATGAATACCAAGGTATCCACTCACAGATAGTCCGTGTGGATAGGTGCGAGCGGCGGCATAGGGCTCGCTACGGCTCGTCTCTTCCTGAGTCAGTACGAGTCTCGCTCGCCGTTCGTCTCACAGGCTACCGTAATGTGCGTATGGTGTTCACTAACCCACCTCGCGCAGAACTCGGAGCGCGAGTGACCGCGCACTACAACACGAAGTCCGCTCCGCTCGATCCCCTCGTGCAACAATTCGGCCCAGAGCGCGTCCGCGCCCTCCAAGCGGACCTCACGGTTGAGACCGACGTCGAGCGGCTCTTCGCCGCGTCCTCTGCTTCACCCTTCGGGCCGGTGCAGGTCGCGGTGATTAACCACGGGTGGCACGTGTCGCGCGAGGTGCCCCTCGCGCAGATAAGCTTGGAGCAGTGGGAATCGACGTTCAAGGCGAATGTGACGTCGTCGTTCCTCGTCGCGCGAGAGTACCTGCGTGGGCTCGAGAAGGCCACCGAGGAAGTCAAAGACAAGGCGGCGATTGTATTGATCGGGAGCACGGCGGGTAAGATTGGCGAGGCGGGGCATGCGGATTACGCTGCGTCCAAGAGTGGTGAGTTTGGGCTCTTGCACATCTTTGCTGCTTGGGGAAGACACTGACTGTTGGTGCGTTCGCAGCCCTGATGTATGGGCTGTGCCTCAGCCTGAAGAACGAGATCGTGAAGATTGCCCCAAAGGGACGTGTGAATGTCGTTGCCCCTGGTTGGACGAGGACGCCTATGGCGGAGGAACGCCTCGAGAATCCGGACGTGAGGTATCGGGCGCTCGCGACGTGAGTAGCGTACAGTACATTTGTCTAGGGTGATTGCTGACTTCGAATACCGTTTGCGGATTCTTGTGTTAGGATCCCATTGAAGAAAGTCGCGAGGCCGGAAGACGTCGCGCATCAGATCGTCGTGCTCTCCTCGCAGACCGTCTCGGGGCACGTTTCGGGGCACGTCCTGATGGTGGAGGGAGGTATGGAGGGCCGTCTCCTGAACAGGCCGGAAGATCTGGGGCTGTAGACCACAAACACGCCTCCTCGTACATGCTCCTGCACTGTTGGTTGACACGCCTGACATAGAGTACATACATACTACGAAGCCCCACCGAATTCAAAGTGTTGAGGATGCAAGAGGGAGGCCTCACCATTTATGACACCGCCGCTTTGATCTGATGGAAGGATTGGTCAGAACATATCCACTTGGGTCGGATCCGGAGGGTCACATGGTTAAATTGTTGTACGACTCCTAGTTCGACTGCACATGCTGAGCTTGCGTTGTTCACTTCAATACGAGAAGCCGTTTGTGATGCCGACGCTCATGCACATCCTGAGAGAACATCGCGACCCCGTCTGTCCCTGATGACTGGGGCCAAGCTTGAACCGCATCGACATGTGGACCCGGATGTCATTTGTGAACGAGTAGATGCGGGCGCTTGGGTGATCGAACGTCCGCATCAATACTGAACCGCGTACTTGCTTCTAAGTTCCCGGCGAATCGATACTGCTTACTGCCCACGTTGCCTGAGCAAGCACGCTGGCCGTCTGATACGGCGGCGAAGCGTTGAGCCTTGTCAGCATCGAGGGGGGCGCCGAAGGCGGGAAGGGAGAGAGCTGGAGAGAGGCCTAATCGGGACAGGCGTTACCAGGCCAGCGCCACGTGGTGGGGAATGCGAGCAGACGCGAGCTCGCCGTTCTTGGCGTCGAGCTCAACCTGTCCCGCGACGTCGACCGTGCTGCCCTCGCTCAGGTTTGGCAGCATCAGTCGGATCTGCTCTGCGCGTTCTCAACATCTCAACGGCGCTCTCTCCTGCTTAGTCAGGCCTCCTTCTTGTCTCTGACCGCCATCCACCCCGTCCTCGACCACCCCACCAGCCAACTGTCTTGCTGATTGGTTGCCCACATCGTACCCATTGCTGGCTGCGCAGCTCCAGACGGGGAGTAAAATATCAGCCCGCTTAGCTCGTGCGTCTCTGTCAGCGGCTTCTGTGCCTCATCTTTTCTCACATCGCACGCTCAGCTTGGTTCATCTTCCTCCGATTGCCAACTTCTCCCCGCCATGGACCCTTTCTCTAGCTTACAAGTCCCCGATGATTCGCAGCCCGGACCCTCGCGCCAGCACGGTGCTAGGCCAGTCTCCGTCCAGCCCATGTCCTCAACAGCCAACTCGCAGTCGGCGAACCGGAAACGTGCGTCCCACAATGTTGTGACGTCTCAACCCCAGCCAGAAGAGCAGCAGCCTAGCTACCGAGACATCTACTCGCACCCCGCTGCCCTCGAGTATGCGGCTGCCCACCCGCGGCGGACGATCCCCAAGTTTGGGCCGTATCTTCTCCTGCAGACGCTCGGCGAGGGCGAGTTCGGCAAAGTCAAGCTCGGGCTGCACATGCAGTGGGGCGAGGAGGTCGCGGTGAAGTTGATCAGAAGGGGAAACATAGACTCCAGCGTGAGGATGTCCAAGGTTGAACGCGAAATCGAGGTTCTACGAGTGCGTATTCGAGTCTTGCCTTGTTCTGAGCCGCGCATAACCTTGGACGCAATCGTGGCAGACCCTCAAACATCCTAACATCGTACGGCTGTTCGATGTTATCGAGACGGACAAGTACATTGGTATCATCCTGGAATACGCTTCTGGCGGCGAGCTGTTCGACCACATCCTCGCGCACCGTTACTTGCGGGAGAAGGACGCATGCAAGCTGTTCTCACAGCTCATCTCCGGCGTGTGGTACATCCACCAAAAGAAAATTGTTCACCGCGACCTCAAGCTCGAGAATCTGCTCCTGGACCGTCATCGCAATGTTATCATCACCGACTTCGGCTTCGCCAATCGCTTTGAGCACCGCGCGGACGACCTCATGCAGACAAGCTGCGGCTCTCCCTGCTACGCTGCGCCCGAACTCGTCATTTCGGATGGTCTGTATGTCGGTTCCGCCGTCGACATTTGGTCATGTGGCGTGATCTTGTATGCTATGCTTGCCGGGTACCTCCCCTTCGACGACGACCCGGCGAACCCTGACGGCGATAACATCAACCTGCTTTACAAGTACATCGTCAATACGCCGCTCTCCTTCCCCGACTACATTTCTGACGATGCACGGGACCTGCTCTCCATCATGCTTGTCCCGGACCCTTCTCGTCGTGCGGACCTCCCGTCCATCATGGCGCACAGATGGCTTGCGCCATACGCCCATCTGTTCCAGAAGAGCGTGACCGAACTGGAGCGCACTGCGATCGAGCAGCACCATCAGAAGAGGCTGGCATACCAGAGGCAGATGAAGGCAGCGGCGAACACGGAGGGAGCGTCGGCGCAGAAGATGGCCCGTAGCCAGAGTGCACGTGTCGAGGGCTACACGTCGCCCACGTCCCCCTCGGGCTCGCGCGGCCACCGCGACCAGAGGTATGCTCCGCAGGCACAGCCGGAGTTCCTGTACGAGACTTCGGCACCGTCGAGCTCGAGTCGTCGGGGCGTCAACTCCGCCATCGTCCTCCCCACGTCTTCCCCCCTCGATCTGGAGGACGACCCGTTCGCGCCTTCTCCGTCTCAGGAAGTGCCGTCCATCGCTCTACTGTCGGCACAGGTACCACAGGATGTTACTAACGGCGTCTTCGATGACGATCGCATGCAGGTCGACAGCGGGCTGGCCCCCAAGTCGACCGTCCCTCCTCCGGCTTCGTATGCGCCGGTCAAGACGACTTCCCCCGAGTCGAAACGGTCGAAGGTTCGCGACAGGCACACTATTCAGGTGGAGTACGGCGAGTCGGATTCGAAACCAAAGCCGTCTAAGGAGCGGATTCGTACCAACGGCAGCACGGCGACCCCCGAGCGTGCGACGAAGAAGCAGTCGCTCGACATCGATGCCAGGTCTTCACAGAAGCCGCTCCCTGGCACGCCTGCGTCGGCGTCGCGAACGCAACCCGATGGCGCGGCGACGTCGAGGTCGGCTGTCCCCACGTCCCCCGCTCCCCCGGTGTCCATCGAGGTCACTGGCCCACCTATCACTCCAGTCACGTCGGTCGACGATAAGCACGCTCAGTCTGCGATCTATGCTCAGAACGGCAGCACGGGCTCGACGGGCTCGGACTCGTCGAAGGGCCGCCACCGGAAGGGTCTGTCCATCGACAAGATCGGGATCTCGAAGATGTTTGGGTCCGGGTCGGGCTCGGAGCAGCCGGCGACGAACGGCAGCGTGTCGCGCACGCCGTCGCAGAGCCAGAGGTCGGTCAAGGAGAGCAGCGTGCCGGCGTCGCTCAAGGACATTGTCCGCCGCCCATCGAGCGTCCAGGTCGGCACCTCCACCACCGCGTCCGTCGACACCAGCGGAGATGCGGCCCTGCTCAGCCCGGGGAGCACGGCCAGCAGCAAGAAGGCGTCGAGGCGGAACACGCTCACGGTCATGGTCGCTCCCATTCGCAGCTCGATGAAGCCACGCTCGAAGAAGACTGTCGAGACTCCGCTGAAGGAGAAGGTGGAGGACAAGGACCGCCTGCATCCCCCAGAGGGACCTGTGGTTCCCGCGAAGGCGGATATTGTGCCGCCCTCGACGCCGCAAGGGATGCGCTCGGCCCGGGCCGAGGCGAGCGGGACGTGGAGGAGTGTGCCGATCCCGGCGTCGACGGTCAAGGCGAGCAGGGTCATGCAGTGGTTCTGGTCGAAGAGCAAGGGCCGCGGGCCGTCAGATATCTCGGATGGAGAGGTCGAGAAACCCGCCGCGGACGAGATCGCGCCGCTCGCGGCCACCCGACCTGTCCCCGTAGAGCGCACTGGGCCCTCAATCAACATCAACACCCACCTCGTTCCCGCGCCGTCGGAGAAGGTGCATTCGCCTATTCCCCTCACGGCGACGCCCTCGGACGGGTCGTTCGCGCCAAACCAGCCCCATGGCTTCACGGACCGGATGCTGCGCGGCATCAGCGGCGGGCGCGTCCAGCTGCGCGTGCACCACGGCGCGGTGGACCAGACGACGATCACGACGGGCTCGCCCCCGGAGGTGATGAAGCACGTCAAGATGGTGCTCGAAGGGATGGGCATAGATATCGCGGTCGAGCACGAGTACAAGTACAGGTGCATCCGGCCGAAGAGGAAGCGCGCGGGCTTGGGCTTGCGTGGGGATGGCGGTGGGAGCTTGGCGGCGTTCACTATTGTTGGATCGGCCGCTTCGAACGGGGTATGTTCCGAGTTTGTCCTTGGGGTTAGTTGTTCACTGAGACGAGGTTCTCTGCCACGACAGGTCGACAAGAGAGGACTGCCTGTCCCTTCGCAGTCGCAGTCGTCCTTCGGCTCGTCGACTGGGGGCATGCTCCGCGGGCTGCTTATGCGCCGTCAGTCGTCGCAGGTGTCCACGGGCACGCTCCATCAGATGTCGCCTTCGATCGAGTCTGAAGCGGGCTCCGACGCCGTGCTGGCTAATGCTGTCCCGGGCGCCGCGAGCGATGCTTCGTCCCCGGTCTCCCTCGACACTGTCTATGGGGACCAGCAGCACGATGCGGGCGACGAGGTTCGGTTCTCGGTGGAGTTGACGCGTCTTGACCGTTTGGACGACACTTACAGTTTGGATATTCGGAGGTTGAAGGGCAACCTCCGGAGCTACAAGTTCTTGTACGATACCCTCAGACAGTGAGTTCCTTCCAGCTTGGTTGGGATCTGCACGTCACTAACCCACTTCTCTGCAGACGTGCTGATCTTCAGCGTTGAACTATGGCGGCCGCTTGCCTGCCTTCACCCCTTAGTCCGTAAGTTGTATATGACATCCTCTAGTTTCCTTGTCTCCAATGTCCGATATGAGCATGGCACGATTCAGACGTTCCCAGCACTGTCCATATATACATGTGTCAATACTCCAGCTCCCTGCAAGATTGACTCGTCTCTCCCCTCCTACCCTTATCGCTCACCCCCCTAATATTCTCTCTACCGATCATCCCCTCTTCTCTCAACCTTCTCGTCATCTTCCTTATCCCTTGTTCCTATTTCTATCACCCTTTGTCTTGACAGTCCTTTTCTGCCCTATGAGTACAACTCCATCCCTCAGTAAATCTACTGCATTGACGTTGCACCCGAGGTCACTTACTCGGTCCCCTCGCTTCCCCTCCAGATCTCGGTAGCGTATCTCGTGTCCTTTCGTCTGGTTGGAACTTTGAGATCACCGCCATTTTATGATATATCCCGCTCTTTCTCTGCCTTGTCTCTTTCCCGGTGGATCCGCACGCTCTCATGTCACGACTACAGCATCGCATACGCACTCGTAATCCCCAAAATATACCATCCAGCTTGTTTCCGATGCCAAGATGCTGCTTGCAAGTGATTTCTAGTAGCCGACGGCCTCGCCCAGTGGCGGTCATCCCAGAAGCCTGTGCTCGTTTCAGGATCTCAAAGGAGTATGATAGATAGAATGTACAAAACGGTCGTATATGCAGGGCGAGGGTATAGCAGAGATCTCGAACAAGCGGTCCGGTGGCTACACTCATCAACATCTTTGTCTTTGTGAAAGCTTTCTCTGCGTCTTTCTGCAGCGCTCTCAGAAGTTCTCCTCATCGGCGCTTGCATTTCCAATGCCCCGTCCTCGGGGACAAATCGACAACGCCCCGAATCACTCGTAACCGCCGTCAACTTCGCTTCCACGACCTGTTTCCACTGCTTCCACATCCTCGTGTCGTTTAGGAGCAACGCGTTCAGGATCTTCATGCGGTCCGGGGGTGGCCTGTCGGTTTCATATGGCATAGCGAGGCACGCGAAAACCACCAATATTCCGGTTCGCGACTTGAAGTCGTACTTCCTGGCGCGCTCGTCCAAGGTCAGCCTGAGGACGCTCTCGATGAGAATGTCCGTCTGTATGTCCTCTCGATCCACCGATGAGAGATACGAGTTGTAGCCCCAGGATAGGGCAAGAGTGGAGATGAACATGATTTGTCCGAAGAGCGTGCCTTGGGGGATCAGGAGAAGCTGGACAAAGAATTGTACTGTGAGGAGTAGAGCGCAGCATCCCGTGGCTCACTGGCTCGGGCCCGTCAAGAGCTTCAAAGTCTGCGAGCATGGTTTCGAGCCCGTAGGATCGTCCGATGCGACAGCAGCCAGCGTTGTTACGGGTCAAGTCAAAGGTCATGACTTCTAGACGACGGATGACCGGTCACTGTGTGACCCGGTCATGACCGCCAGTCAAAAGTCAGCACGTGAGATCTCCGGCATGTCCGAGACGGCGCCAAGCGCGTGGCCGCGAGGAGGTACGATGGGGGCTGATGAGACTATCGCGAACTCATCCCTGTCCTTTACTTTAAATGACCTACTACCCCGTTATATGCTATGTCTGAGCTGCGAACCGACAAAGAGCTTGCCGACGGATAGAAAATAATCAATTTGTAAGGAATGGAAGTCGACCTGGACGCGAATCTCAACGATGAACTAGCTATATATAACGAACAAGCTGCAGTTTCTAGCCTGCAAGAGGAGTCTGAGTCGGAGGAGCAGTTGCGCAGCGGCCTACTGTTGGTTGCCACAGCTGACCGTCCAGTACTTTGTGAGTCATGATAGCAACCGAAATGTTTTAGAGGGTCTGTTGAATACAGGATAAGCCATGCTTGATTTACATTATCACTTGTTGAACTTGGACTTATCCGGTCCGGACTACACTGTTGAACAGGCGCTGGTCTACACAGCTTGCCTAACACAGCCGTCACAAGATATGGAATGGCACAGCCGTTTACTGCAATAACCGAGGCTGTACTACTCATGTGGTACACACACAGCTTCGCTGTGTACGCACTGCTTCTCTGTGCGACTGTGCATCCTGGGAAGGTACTGTATAGTACTACGTAGCCACAGATGTACAGTAGTATATATAGGGGACCTCTGTACCCCCAATCTACAGTTCAGTTCACTCGAACGTCTCCTCTCATCGCTCTTACAAGCCTCTTACAATCAACCAACCCTTCTAGGTGAGTTGCAGGCCATCCGCTGTCGTTGCCACCTGTGGGAGAGGCTTTCGCCCCCCCCGGGTTCAACAGGTTATGAGCCCTGCTCGACGCTGCAGAATCTGCACCGCTCACTGCGTGCTGTGCTCTGTAAGCTCGCAGCTCACCTGGATCTTTGCCATTGTTATCGATGTGCAACCGCTGCTTGGATCTGGCGTGATCATACGCTGCCTGTCATGCATGCGCTGTGGACTGTTGTGGCGCGCTTCGTCACTGCTTACAGTGCCACAGAGAGGTAACCTATGTCGGCATGATCTCTCTCTGCCTCGACTGCGTTCTTTGAAGGCGTGTGGCTGACAAGTCTCCCTTCTAGAACCATACCTCTCGACAATATGTCTGGTGCTCTCTAC